AAGTTAAGATAGATTGACTGATTGTTGCCTGCTTAATGTCCAGTGGTGGTAGTTGAGAACTTTCTCATTTAACACAAAAACATTTTGTTCCCATTTAACACAAAATATGTATGCCCATGTTCGGTTTAAACATTTTGTATTTCCCCAAATACATTTAGTTATTAAATTAAGTCAACATCCGTTTAACAGATTTAATCATACAAGATTTAAGAATGTCACATCAAAAATTCATGTAACTTTGATCACCAGGGAATTAGTAAATTAATTTTGTGTTTCATTTGGTAAATAAGTGTAGCAAGAATCACATTTTTATTTATTAACCAAGATCATCTAGTTTCTGGTATTCCCCATTATACTGTAAAACCCATTTCCCATTAAAGATCAGTTAATTTTGGCCAAGATGTCACACTAATTGAATAAAAAGATGATTACATTTAACTTCAGAGATTTTCTACTAGGATGATGTGTACTTAACTCAAGAGTTTTGTAACCTATGTCCAATAAAATATGAGTATTTTTATATTGGAAAGTACAATCTTTAATTAAACATGTCTGTAGGTCAGTCTACATTTCAGTGACACAAGTTTAAAAAAAGAACTTGGAGTAGAAATAAAATCAATTATTTTTAACATGTTTCAGACTTTGTGATTTCATTTATATAAAATCAATGATCATCTCATCCATTATGAATGAATTTATCAAGAATATCTTCCAAAGGGATGCACTTTATAATCCTGCATCCAGTTCATATCCATTAAGTTATTATGTCACGTGGAATATAAATTCTTGATATATATATTCAGCATTTTATAAAAAAAATATGAATAGTATCATTAGCCGAATCGAATGATATAAATAGATAATATCTTTGTTATAATAATGATAATAAAACTAGCTTGATTAAAAAAAAAAAAATTAATAAAAAGAGAGAAAATAGCAGAAAACCTTAGGAATATCAAAGAGGTCATATTAGATATATATATATATAAGATTGTTAACCTCTTTGGCAATACTATATTGGGATTTTAATCTAACCAATATTAGTTTTATGTGCTAAACAAAATAAACTTTTCCTGAATATGTTCTAGATATTTGTCAAGTTTATTGACCAAGTTATTGAATGTCAATGTATGTGACCTTGATAATGACTAAATTTTGAAACTATGAAAAATCAATGTAAAAATGATAATACTGTGAACCTATTATTATTTGCTGGGTACCATAGATAGTTTGATAATACTGTGAAAGTATGATTATTTGTTGGGTACCAATTTTGGTTAATTTAGTAGTTCCCATCAACCCTCAAATTAAGTACATGAGGAATAATCATTTTCTTTTGAGTCTAAATATAATAATCTTCATAACCTGATGAATTCAAACTACAAATATTGATTGATACCCACAAACAAAAGTACTCCCAGAAAAAAAAAAACACATGTATGTTAAAAAAAATGCTGAAAAGAAAACAAATGATTAATCTAGTAAATGTACAAAACAGCAAAAGTAAATTACTAAATTAAATGAAGTATGGTGGGGGTATTTATGTCGCCATCTGGTGGTATGAAGTATACTTTACCCCTTACATTTTGCTTTGTCATTTTGTTCTACTTATAGTCTCTATATCATGTCAAAAAGATCTTAGTGCATGATATAAATCTGTCTAATGAAGGTTATAAGTACGAGGAAGATTTGATTTACATAGTTCATACTCCATATTTAAAATAAATCATCTTCTTTAGATTTCATGTTTTCTGAATGATATATGTTTAACTAGTGTATTTGTCTTGTTAATCATTTCCCAGCTTTTTATATGGTTTCTGTTATCCTTTGATACATGTTTTTACTGTTCCATAAATACCAGGAAAATGATGCAGTGACTTATAAATTTTCCCATAGTGGGAAGTGTGGTCATACACATCCTGACAAAATTTTGACAAATCAAAAATTATTTGAGTACTTCCCTACTTTGTAGAGATCTAAGAATAGAACTTTTTAAATAAAGGTACATTACAGTTTAAACATACTAAAAGCTATAGTAATAGCAAATGTACTTATTATCTGTATATCTTAATCAATATTTTAAGACTAATTATCTCATAAATAATGATTAGTAGTAGTAGTACCATGTGACATGGCATTTAACCATTCATAGTTCAAACATGTGAATAAGCATGCACATGCTGAACTGTTTTCTCATTCAAAGGGAAATCCTCATTTACAGGTCAAGGTTGTTGACAGAAAAGTAGGGCAACTCAGTCACTGTTTATTCTTAGGCTTAGCTATAACAAAGTGAAAGTTGGATTTACTGAATCAGAAAATGATAACTTGATTGTTTAAAGGATTTATAACTTTCAGCTGGAGATGTTGGATGTAAATAATCTAAGATCTCTTTTGGGGTAAATATAAACCATTTATTTTGAAGTAAAGTGGACAATCCTTTCTAAGTATCTTATTAAAATAAGTTAAATTCTTTTGCTTTGTTACATGCATATATATCGGTAAACACAATTCTGTTTATTCCATATTTTAATTCACAAAAACTCATCAGTATAGATGTAATAACATTAAGAATTAAGCAACTAAATAATAGTATTGAACTCTTTCTGTAGAATGTATTGTAAATGGAGATTATACACAGGCACTTGTCTCAGAAAAAAAAATTCCTATATACCTTAATTGTTATATTAAGGTATATAGGAAAAAAAATTTCTGAGACAAGATTAGTGCCTGTGAGATTATACTCAATATTAGGGCTTGAACTCTTTCTGTAGAAAACTTAGTAGAGTATATTGTAAGTGGAGATAACTCAATATGAGGGCTTGGAATGACATATCAGGCAGATATCTACTAAAACAGAATATTGTCTCCTCATTATACTTTTTGATTTTTAATGTCCTGCCTAGGATAGAAGGTGCATTATGCTGCATGGTCTGTGTGTCTGTCTCCGATATTCCATCCGTCTGTTGATTATTCCTTTCATCTATCCTGTATCAGGTTAAAGTTTTTGTTTAAGATAGTTTACAAGGAAGTTGAGGTCATATCATCTTGAAACTTTAGTACACATGGTCATTAGGATATGAACTTTTAGGATTATATGCAAATTACAGTTTTTACCTCGATTTCGCGATTGACTGATCGTAGAAATGTGTTCTGTGTAATTCCAGTATATTCTCAGGTTAAAGTTTTTGGTTAAGGTATTTTATGACATGAAGTTGTGGTCATATGCACTTGTAACTTAGTACACATGTTCATTATGATTTGAACTATTTAAATTATATACAAAATTATGGTTGACCCTGATTTTACAGTTCACTCAACATGGAAATTGGATAGTGCAAGCTGGGCATCACGTCCTATGGAAACATAGTCGAAAGGGTAGCCATTGTAGATATGAAGCCCTGTGACATTTCAGCTCTTGATAACTGATAATTTCAAATTGCATCAAAATGATCCCTTATTATAAGTATTAATTTGAAAGAAAATGTTTCCTTTAACTTATAAACATAATTTAATATTCTTTTAGGCCTTAATAAAAATTTTAAATCATTGTCTGCTTGGTTGTCAGGGCAAATTTTAGAAAGTTTATATAACACTAAACAAATTGTATTGAACCATTGCAAAAAAGGGCAGACTACAAATTCCAGCAGTTGAAGATTAACATGTTATCTTAATGAATTTTTTAACAAATAAATTAAGGACACAAAATAAAAGATAATGAATATATAATTGCTGGGCTCACTTTGAATTTTCTGTACATTCTTTGGAAAATTTCAAAATTACAATAAGAATTTGAAAAAATGTATAGTAATTTAGTAAACATGGAGTTTTGCTCATTGTTGAAGGTTGCACTGTGACCTATAGTTCCATTCATCCAGTCCTTTGGTCTCTGGTGGTTAGTTGTCTCACCAGCAAACTATGACACCATATAAAATAGTTTGTGAATGAAAGTGTTTTTGTAAAATTTATCTGTTGGAGTAATGGAATAGCATTGCAATCATTCATGACCATTGTGTATTGATTTTTAAATGAACACCCATTCTTAACCTTTGTGTATTGATTTTCAACTCTTTATTAACAGTAAATTTATAGTTTCCATGATCCTAGTCCAGGACCTGATAATTTCACATTCCAGACAATGATTCAGTTTTTTGCACTAAAGTTAACATTATAATTTTGGACCAGACTGGTTGTTTCAGATAAATATATGTCTAGGTACATACATTTATCTGAACTAAACATTGTAAAGGTAAACAGGATCCATGTCTGTCTAGTTTTAAACTATTGGAGCATATAGAACAGAAAATTGAATTCTAATGGCTATAAAATTCAATGTTCTGTAATACCTTTCACTGAGATAATATTTCAAAAATGTGATGTCATGTAAACAAGGTTATAGGTGAAAAGAATTTGTTTACTAATTTTATAAGTTCAACATAATCAGAATCAACAGTACATATATATATATATATATAGTTTGCCTAAAGCATTTTACTATATTAATAAAAAAGATCTAGTAAACTGAAATTTTTTGTTGTCAACAATTTCAATTACAGTTTTCACCAATATTTTTAAAACTTCATATATGTCAAAATATGTTTCCAATATTGCAGTTGTGTGCCTTTAAGTAAGAATTATAGTCAAGACACCTATTTTTTATCACCTGCTTGTATTGCACCACATGAATGATCTCTAGAAGCATGCCCACCTAAAGTGTGAGAAATGATTGATTCAATCCCTTAGGTATGTCAAACCAAAGACTTGAAAGTTGGTATTTGCTGCTTCTAAGCATGCAGCATTTTGGAGGAAGGGCAAAGACTAATTCTGCTCAGAGTCAGAATAATGTGCCTTGATAGGATGGCCTATCTGTCTTTTGGTGCTGTCAGCTTGTGATCTAGCACTATTTCTTTAAAGACAATCTGTATGCCGAAGAGCTTAGTATTTGTTTACTCCAAGGTTGCAGTTTTATTTTTTATTTAATTATTCCTATAATTTTTTTTCAGATCTGGCAGTGACAATTCTTCTAAAAATCCCAGAATTCCTTTGTCATATCTTGTCGCCCTGTTGCAACCGTCCAACATACCAGACACACTGGATCGAGAGGCGTCATCAGCACCGGATCATTCCGGTAGAATGGCGGTGACGCGTGTTCCGACACCGCCACCGCCAGAAATGTCATGTCCAGTAGCTGAAAACTGGTGTTACACACAGGTAAGTCTTATATTAGACAAGTAAACAAAACTCAAATGCACTTTTTACCTTATCAAACCCAAAACCTCAATGTTCCATAATAGATTTTTGTCTCGCCTGCAACTTTCGTCGCGAGACATAGGTATTACTATCAGGCGGCGGCATAAACTATTTGTATAAAGCTTTATATTTCAGAAGGTAGAAGACCTGGATGCTTCATACCTTGTATGCAGATACCTTATGTTAATAAGTTTCCGTCTGTCATTTGCCCATTGTCCTTGTCCTCATTTTCATTGTTTAGCGACTGCTTGGAAAAAAAAATAGTTTTTTTGTCATGTGAATTTCTCACTTATTATGAGTAATGGGATAACTATATTTGGTATATGGGTTCCTTGCAACGTTTACATGTCTGTCAGACAGGGTTAACCTGACCTCGACCTCAATTCATGGATCAGTGATAAAGTTTAAAGTTACTTGATTAGGTTCATTTTTGTCTCGCCTTGACGGAGTCAAAAAGCGAGACATAGGTATGCTGTTTCCGGCGACGGCGGCGGTGTCAACAATGTATTAGTTTGTGATTAGGTCTAGTTTATGGTGAACCACTAGTGGTAGGTCAATGATATTTGGTATGCAGTTGTATAAGCATTGGCACATCTCATTACCTTGGAGATTTTTTGGCCCTGCCCTCTCAGTCATGGTCTATTGACTTTGAAACTTTGCTTAGTTTACATGTATTAGTTTGTGATTAAGTCAGTTTCTGGGGAACCACTAGTGGTAGGTCAATGATATTTGGTATGCAGTTGTATAAGCATTGGCATATCTCATTTCCATGGAGATTATTTGGCCACGCCCCCTCAGTCATGGTCTATTGACTTTGAAAGCTTTTATTATTAGTTTGTGATTAGGTCAGTTTAAGGGGAACTGTTAGTGGTAGGTCAATGATAATTGGTATGCAGTTGTATAAGCATTAGCACATCTTATTTCCATGGAGTATATTTGGTCCTTACCCCTCAGTCATGGTCTATTGACTTTGAAACTTTTGCTTAGTTTATATGTATTAGTTTGTGATAAGGTCAGTTTAAGATGAACCACTTATGTTAAGTCATTGGTATGCAAATGTATTGGCATTTGCAAGTTTCATTTCCACGGAGATTATATAACCCCACCCCCTCATTATGGTTCATTGACTTTGAAAACTTTTGCATAGTTTACAAGTTAATGTTTGTGTTTAGGTTTATTTAAAGGGAACGATTTATGAAAAAGTCAATGGTATTTGGTATGCAGTTGTATTAGCATTGGCACATCTGATTTCCAGGGGAGATTGTTTAGCCCTATACCTTCAGTCATGGTTCATTGACTTTAAATATTTGCATAACTTACATGTTAAAGTATTGCTATTTTAATTTCAACATTTGCATTATCAAAATAACAAATAGGCGAGACATATCTTTGTGTTAACAGTTTATTTAGATACTACAAGCAGAAGGTCAATTATATGTGGTGTATGGAATGATTGTAATGGGTGCATGTCAGACTGGCAGGTTTCATCTGACCTTTACGTCATTTTCATGGTTCATTGGTCAATGTTAAGTTTTTGTGTTTTGGTCTGTTTTCCAAGTACTATAAGCAATAGGTCATCTATTTTTATGCCCCCGCCATAGCGGAGGGGGCATTAAGTTTTACCCTTGTCCGTCTGTACGTCCCAAAGTTGGTTTCCATTCTCTAACTTTAGTTAGCCTCAACCAAATATTATGAAACTTATACACAATGCTTATTACCACAAAACACAGATCAAGTTTGAATTTTGGTGGTGTCACTTTAACCGTTCTAGAGTTATGCCCCTTTACAAATGGAAAAATTGCTGAATTTTTCGTTTCTGTTCTCTAACTTAAGTTAGCCTCAACCAAATGTTATGAAATTTACTGTAAATTCAGAAATTATTGCGAGGTTTTTATTAATGCGAATAATGCGAGTGGATGAAGATCGCAATAATAAGAACTCACATTCTGATATCTGATACTTATATCTGTATGCAGATTTTCCTGAAATCGCAATAATTAATCTCACATTTTAGTCCATTCTTCAGAAATCGCAAAAATAAATGCACGCAATAATTTCTGAATTTACAGTATACACAATGCTTATTACCACAAAACACAGATGAAGTTTGAATTTTGGTGGCGTCACTTTAACTGTTCTAGAGTTATGCCCCTTTACAAATGGAAAAATTGCTGAATTTTTCGTTTCTGTTCTCTAACTAAGTTTGCCTCCACCAAATTTTATGAAACTTACACACAATACTTATTACCACAAAACACTCAGATCAAGTACAAATTTGGGTAGCGTCAATTTTACCGTTCTTCAGTTATGTCCCTTTATAACTTTATATGATATGCAAGCAGGGGCATCATCTGTGTCCCATGGACACATTCCCCATTTATTGGTTTATGGAATGATTGTAAGGTGTACATGTCTGTCTAGCCGGTGTCATCTAACCTTGACCTCATTTTCATGGTTCATTGGTTAAAGTTAAGTTTTTGTGTTTTGGTCTGTTTTTCAATTACCATAAGCAATTGGTCAACTATATTTGATGTATGGAATAATTGTAAGGTGTACGTGTCTATGTGACAGTTTTTATCTGACCATGACCTCATTGTCATGGATCTTTAAAAATGTTAAGTTTATATCATGCTTGTAGAAAAACCTTTATCTTTAAGAATTTCAACATAAAATCAAGTCAGTAAAACAGGTGAGCACTCTTGTGTTTATTAAAGTTTTTCAGAAATCTGCACTGAAACAAAAATTTCAATTAAAATCAAACTTGGCCATTGAATCATCTATATAGGTAATCTGCTTTCACGATTGTATCAAACATTTCCCCTCAACATGGCCAGTGTTGCTTTTGAAATAACATAGTTTTAGAAAAGGCAATATGGTAGTATTTAAAAGGTGTCTGTGAATATTTAGCTGATTTTCATTGTGTTGTTGTGAAATATTGTTCAATATACTTCTGGTCTATTGTTCTTATACTCCCAATCGTCCTGAACATGCATGAAATATTTGCCACTGGATGTTAAGCAACCAGCAATCAATCTAACGCCTGTTTTCTTTTTCTTTTTTCTGTTGTAGGGTTAATATTGCTCAATCTTTATTTTTTTTGGTGTTTTGTGGACTTGTTTCTCCATCTTGTTTTTTTTAACAATGTTGTCACTTTTACTTCAACTTTAGGTTTTTGATTGCCTCCTAAATATCTTCTCTCCCCTTTTTTTGCAATATTTTGACATGTTTCATTGTGACATTGCAACGTTTTGTAAAAGTCCAACAAAGTAAGCCAATTGTTTAAAAAGTTTAGGGTTTCTGATATTTTAAAGATAACTAATTGGTTTTACTACTTCCACTGGTTACAATTTCATCTTCACTGAAGAAAAGAGTACCACAGTGCAAAAATGTTATTTGTCTGCTAATGTGATTCAGGTCAATGTCTGGAAAATAAAATGAATTACACTTTTTTTTTAAATTGTGCTGTGTTTTTTATGCATTCGTGGACAATTATTTCAGCAACAAAGCAAATCTACTGACGATGAAGCATTTTTTTTTTTATAGAAATTATATGAAAAAATTAAATAACAATATTGAGAGGGATACATTCAACAAATTATTTCAGTAAAAGAACTTTGCTCAGTTGCATGTTTTCTTTGTGAAATCATAGTTTTAGATGGCGTTCTGATAAACTTTTCTCCTAGTATCATCTCCTTTGTTGTAGTAATTACATGTATATGTAACAAGAACTCGCAGAAAATTACACAAGTGTACTATAATCTGAATGCTTTGAACTTCTGTTATATTATCTGAATGCTTTGAACTTCAATGATATTATCTGAATGCATTGACATTCAGCATAATACATTTTGTACTTTAAGCCTACGTTATGATTAACCATATTAAAATATTTTAAGGAATCACAGCCAAGTCATAGCTATAAATACATTCTCTTCCTGTTTTAACTGACTCACAAATTCATCTTCATATATATAGTATACCCCATACGAAGGCTGCTCTAGGAGAGGGGGTTATATAGCAATCAACTTGTCAGTCCTTTCGTCCAATTTATATTTTAATCACATTTTTGTCATGTACTGCTAAACAGATTGACTTCTTATTTGGTCAACAGCTTGACAGTGATGAGTTGTAATGTGTTAACAATTTTTGGATCTCTCAGACATCTACTTTCTGTTTGCTAATACTTTGAATTTTTCATGTTGTCACTTAGGTATAGAAATATGGTCATCCCTGAACATCTCCTTTTTTGGCAGTAAAACCCATGTTAAAGTCTTGTGTCTGTTCAGCTGTGTGGGATGTATAAATTCGCAGCCATGTCCAGTATGAATTGGGACTCTTTGAGGAGCTCTTATTTGCTCTGTTGAATGAGAAAATTTCTGCCCCTCTATATTCCATACCCACATTTTCCAGTGGTAGTCCAAATGTCATACCTTTTTCATCCAAGTTGTCCAGTCTTAAAAAAATTATTATTGTGTTCAATGTTGATTTGTTCACAACCGGATTATGCATACAATATTTGCCACTGGACGTTAACCAGCAACAATTAATCAATATTTAAAATTGAAAAATTTTGGTTACACATTTCTCCAGTACTAATTTAACAGAATGACGTCATATTTGGTCAGCAGCTTGCCAATAATTAATATTTACAATGTAAAAGCTTTTTGGATCTGTCCGACTCCAACTTCCTGTTTGCTGGTACTTTGAATTTTTCAATATACTTAGCAAGTTGAATGAACTTGAAAAAAATTGTCTCACATTTATCTAGTACCATTGAATAGTTTAATTTCATAATTGGTTAAAAGCTTGATAGTGATGAGTTTTACTGTGTTTGTGCTTTTCAGATATGGCAAAAAACTGCTTCCTGTTGTCTGATGCTTTGAATTACCTGCAATGGGGGTATTCTTAGCACAACCCAGGTCCATTCTTGTTTACCTTTATATGAAAACTAGATAGCTCTCTAATTTAAGTGACCTGATGTAAAGATACAAAGGTTTTTCCTTCAATGATTGTTTGATTTGGTCCTTACAAAGGAAAATAAACGAAGTGCTGAAGGTATGGTTACAGTCTTAGTTGATTTTCGAGAGAAAAAACATTTGTGTAGGGATTTTGTTTCAAGAATTGATGCACCTTATCTTTTCTTTTTCATTTTTAAAAACCTGCAAAAATTAGATATGGCAATTTCCCTGATAAAATACAATTCCAAATTTCTGATTTTATGTGTCTTTAAAGCAGATAGTCTGAAGAGAAATATATGTCCCAACCTCTTACCATTATGTTGAATTGTCTGTCAGACTGTTGTTTTTAGAATGCAAGTCTTGTGTCTGGATGCATATCTTTTATAGTCTGAAAAATCTATATATTGCAAGTGTCTTATGTCTGAATGCATACCTTTATAGTCTGAAAAATCTATATGACAGTAGGAAGATTTTAAAAGATAGAAATTCTGCCAGGAATACCAGAGAAAAAATAATTGATGAGGTCAATTGCACTCCAAACAAATTCTCAGGACATAGTATAGATTAATATTGTTAAATGAAGCTGTAGAATAAAGGTTGCTCCAGAATTGTTCTGTTAGCAGAAGGTTTCTAGGTCACATTGATCAATACACAATACTTTTGCCACTATATAATTACTTAAATGTGATAAAAGTTTGTAAGCCAGTAATTGGTTTCAGGGAGAATAGAATCGCATGTAAATCTAATTAATGACTAAATATAGTGATTACTTTAGCAGTGGAAAGATCATTAATTTTGAAGTTGTCACCTAAAAAATTAAAATCAGGACATCTTGTGTTTTATTAAACAGTAGGTGAAAATGTACTGAAGCTATATAATAAACCTCTAAATGACCTTTGACTGAACTTACACAAAACAAAATGATACAGCTGGTTTTAGCTGGAAATCAGTCACTTACCTGATAAACAATTATACCAAAACAGTTTTTACTTTGTTTTAATTTTCACCAAATATTTGTAATTGACCACAGCACAGCTGATATAACTACTTATAAGCACATTAGTACAGTGGTATCAAGAGAAAATATCAAACTATCAAAATTCAATTAATCCTCTCAAATGATATGAATAAGTCTCCTCAAAACCACCTCAGAAAATTTTACTGAAATGCTGTTAAAGGGACATTAGCTACGAGATATAAAAAAAAATGAAAATATGAATTTTTTTTTGTTCAATCATTACTGAAAGTGAAAAAGTGAAATAATAATTCGCTTTTAGCAGCCAGTCTTGTGCAGTTTTGTCAAAATAAACTAAGAAACATTGCTAATGAATTATTCACTTTCAAGTGAATAATTGAATAATTTGACCTCATTGAATTTGTATTCATGTGACCTTCAATTTAACCCCTTAGCTGGAGATGGGTTACACATATATTCAGCTTTTAAAAGGAAAAGAATGTCAACATTGAAAGTGAAACAAGGATGAACCATTTGGTGGTCTGATTTGATCCACAAAAAATCATTCTCATACAGTTAAAATTGATGATAAACATACTATTTAATCTACAATATGAAATCAAACAGACCTAGAAAAATCCAATTGCACGTGGTCGCTATCTATTTATATTTATGTTTATATTGGGTTATATGACTGTCAGCAGTGTTTGGAGGTCATCTCTATGGTTAATAAGATGATATTTAGACAAAAATACACAGAAATGCTGATATATATTATCAAGTCCATGCATTGTTAATTGTTTATTTAAGACTTTTTGTAATTTGGATATACGTTTTAGTATGTTATAAATCAAATATGAGAATTTGAGCCAAATAGGTGAACAAGAATTTGACAGCTATTGCCCCTTTAAGGTACACTTAAAAAGTGTTCATCCAAGTAACTGTAAGATGCATTTTTCTAAAGTTTCTTAAAAGTGTACTTCTAAAAGTAGGTCATTGTAACTTAGTTTCTGTGTATAACTGATTGATTTAGATTTACTTTTACATACCTATTGCTTAATTGCCTAGGGGTGAGATGGTACTTATTTTTTTTTCATTTCTTGCAAGCAGTTTAATTTAGATATTTTCTTCAGTGTTTAGAAAAAAAGAAGGTTTTGCTTCTTTTCTGGACCTCCCTGTTTGTTTAGATGTCAGACTTGAAAGGCAGGTGTGCACTAAACATCTTTCAGGGAAACATCTATTCATCTTACTTATGTACTGAATATAGTTCATAAATTATTGCAATTAATAAACACATATTTTCTTTGAAACCCTAACAAGACATTTTTTACAAGTTTTAACTGTTTGCACATCTGTTTGAAGTACACGTACTGCTGAGCTTGACAGATGATGCACAGAAGAATTATTAATTAATTTAAAAATTCATAACTATTTTAGATACAGTTTATTTCTTACAATACGCAACACTGCTTTTGAAAAATATGCGAAAAGGCTTCAGGGAACTATTTATGTTCTGTTGACAGGCTTTTATGAATTTTCATTAAATTCATAGAAAAGTAATAACTTTGTATTTAGTTTTTGAGTGTCAGCAAGTTGGAATTATAGTTAGGTACTCTTAGCATGATTATTTATTAATAAATCTATTGTCATTAAACATATTCAGGAAAGTTAATTAATAAATTCAATTTTATGTAACAAATAATTTTAACCTTTCATGAAATTATTAAGAAAATTAGAAAATTATACAGATTACACAAAAAGAATTGTAGGAAATACAGGTATTATCATCATTATAAAAAAAGCCCACAAGTTTTCAGTATGGATGAGTTAAATTATTAATGAGGTATAACAGTCCATAATAATAGAGCATTCTGTTTGATTATTAAAGCTGTATATTCTCTCTTTGTTTTGAAAGTTTGCATTTTACTTGTATGCTACAGTCATAACTTTGTTCAAAACATGTTTGAATAAAAGATGTTCCTTAGTAACATCAACAAAACCTAACTTATAATGTTTTTATTAATTCATTTGATTTTCGCAGGTGAAAGTTGTGAAGTTTTCCTACATATGGACAATAAACAATTTTAGTTTCTGTAGAGAAGAAATGGGTGAAGTTTTAAAAAGTTCCACATTCTCAGCTGGAGCTAATGATAAATTAAAATGGTAAGAATTCTGTAAGATTAAATTATGTTTATGTTTCGTTTAAAAAATGTTATTACATGTATCTAATTTGCAAAATGATAGATGATAAATGCAGGATATCCAATTACATTAATCATGATGTAAGTAGACAAACATTCACACAACTTTGAAAATAGTTCTACTGCATTTTTTTTGCTTTTGGGAAAAGAAAAATAAATCTCCTGCAAGGTCTTGTTAATAACATGGAAAGAAAAAACTTATGTTTTCTAGTATAGTTTATTCACAAAACAAGTGTTTCAATGAATATTCTCAGAGGCAGGACATAGGTGTTGGTTTTGAATCAGAATCGTCATCAACACATTTATGACAGACATACTTAACTTTAAATAAATAGATCTATTCTGTAACATTGAATGTGCTCATTTTTTGTTATTTGTTTTGCATTGTGAAACAATATAGACTATCAAAATAAGGTTCAGTCTATATAAGTCAATCAACCAAAATTATTGTTTAAGTGAGCACATGAAAAAGGATTTTAGCCATGTGCATTTGTATTTTGATTTGAACATTATTATTCTGTAAGCTTACAATGGAGGAAAAATCAGCTGCATTTAGATCCACTTTTTAAGCTTAAGTTTAAATTATATTAAAATATTTGAAGTTTTATAGAGCTCAACAGGTTGATTTTTTAAAACTAGATTAAATATTCTTTGTGTTAACAGGGTCTAAGACATTCTTTTTTTTTTATCTTTTAGGTGTTTGAGGGTGAATCCTAAAGGATTGGACGAAGAAAGTAAAGACTATTTATCGTTATATTTATTATTAGTGTCGTGTAATAAAAGTGAAGTTAGAGCCAAGTTCAAATTCTCAATACTTAATGCAAAAAGGGAGGAAACAAAGGCTATGGGTAAGTTTATGTCTACAATCCACACAATATATATATATAAAAAATGATTAACTAGTTCTCATACATTTGTGTCAAAGAGGGAGCATATATAGTGATGCACATGTTTGTCCATCCGTCACAAATTTGGTTTCTGGATGATAATTTAAGTATCAATTACCCAAATCTTTACAATTTTTTAATCAGTCTCCACGATAAGCTTTTGAATCGACAGGCCCAAAGCTGAATTTTCTGAAAATTTACGTTGATTCTATTGGCCTGTAGAAATTATTTTTTACAGGCCTGACAGCATTTTTCAAGCCTGGGCTGGTGGGCCTGTGGTTATGCGCGAGGACTGTTGAATTCTTCAGATTAACTAAAATAACTAATTCAGTTAAGAAAAAGGAAGAAAAAAAGTATTGACAAATCTTTTCCTTTAATCATTTTTTTGGGGTACCTTTTAGCAAAGAATTTTACACAGAATTTTAGCACATTGTAGCAAATGAATTAACATTTTCTGTTTTGTTTTTAACTTAAAGTTACAGTTAATGAATAAAATCATATTCTATCAAGAACAGAACTTCTTCCAAGATATATACAGTCTTTAATTAGCTGCCTGTTTTTTATGCCTAAAAATGTATCAAAAGGATTCCTGATGCCAATCTTAGTGTTAAAGCAACAGTTATGTAGAGGTTTTTGATTTCTGAGTGTCAATACTGCCATGTTAAATAGCATTGATTTTATCATGATACTGCTAACATTTCAAATTGAACATCACAGAAACCCATCGTAATTTTATTTTCTTCTTATGTTAACATTTAAATCAATATAAAACCTTTCAAACAACTGTAAGCCTTTTTGTATCAACTATCAAAGTGGCAGTGGGTTGATTGACTGATTGTTGGTTGCTTAAAGTCCAGTGCCTTGGGTCGATGGGGGGACTTTGCAAAATAGATAAAGTATTTTATACTGTCTAGAAATTACAGTAGAATATTTATAGCGGAGAGGACGTAGTAGTATTATTTTTTTTTCAATCCATACTGTTCGTAACACTACTCCATTTGGTAGGATTGTTTTTCATGGTATGCACTTGTCCTTACTGTACTGCCATTTTGATATGAAAATTTTTGTGAGAGTTATGGCTGATTCACTATTTTGGCTTATTGTAGCATTATGACACATCAGGAAGACTAATTTTCCATCACAATTTGCCTAAAAAATCTTTTGATAGGATTGTTCATCATCTGATGCAGTTAACCATAGCTATTTGTGAAACATTAGCAGAAACCCAACACCTTTTATAATTTAATTTATCAAGTTACTTCTAAATATTATCTAAATTCAAAAAATTAACCAACAGTACAACAGACTTCATGATCAACAACATGTCTTTGACAGAATACACAGAAAAAGAAAAAAAAAACCCAAAGAAGTCATAAAAGCTGACTTGTTACAGGCACAAAATGTATTGGGTTATATATGTTTTCCAAATATGGAAACCTCCCTCACACCTATCAATACAATATCTTAAAATACAACAAAAAAGTAATTTGATTGTGTATGTATATATATATCATGAAATTGAAAGAAAAACATATTTATGTTGGATTGGCTTTTCCCAATATGCTACCTACTCAGTACTCTATATACTAAATATTTTTAAGGTTTTAGTCCAGGATTCATTTTTGATCATAACAAATTTAAACATCTTCCTACATAGCAACAGAATAGCTAATTTCATACTTGAAGTATTGGATTTGTCTGATCTGAATAACTTTATGTGTTTCTTGGCCATTCTCATGTGGTTACACCCACTCAATCTGTTCTATAAAGATTCTGAAAAGTTCAAGTATATGTTGGTTCATAAAAACAAACACAAAATGGATTAGTTCAACTGAATTTAGCATACAGTTATGATTTTATCTCTTAAACATGGAATTTACTGCAAAATTTTTTGGGGGTGATTAATTTAACAAAAATTTGAATGGTTAATTGTTAATTGTACCCTTTTTCTCTGTACTCAAAAAAATACACCCACATCATAATTTTAACATTTTCATCAATTTTCTTCATTTTTGAGGGTTATCCCTTCATAGAACTTTCTGCTCAAAACTCTTTTGAATAAAGATGGTGCTGGTGCTTGAAATAAATAAAAGAGTTTCTTTCATTATCTGGATGTTAAATATAAACTTAAACATATATCCATGTATGCTATCTGCCTGGTCTGCATTAATTCATGAATTTATCTGAATACTTAGTTGGTTTTAAAGCAGCATCTTATAAAAAGTAGGTTTGGTCTAAACATAATCTGCATTTCTATATAGGAAAGTATGTTTGATAAAAAAACATATTAATATAAAAGGAGATGTTTGGCATACATCAATGAGACAACAACATCACCTTTGGGAGTTTGTAATGAAAATATTCAAATCTATCTGTAAAAAATTGTCTTGAAAAAAGAAGAACCAGGATAGCTATAATTTTGTTTCGGTATATACATTGACAAATCTAGAATGTAGCTGAAGCCAAGACAATAAATACATGAATCATACTTTCAAGCAACAAAAACAATTATAAGTTCCATAAAACTTTACAGTCTAGTGGTTAAAATAACTAGTAATATGTATAAATTTCATAGAATTATCATGCTATTTGAGTTCTGTCTGATCTGTAAGTTGTCTTTAAAATAATTTACACTGTTCAATATATGAAATCTTGAACATAATTTGAAAGTTCCATTTGTCAGAAAGATGATTATCCAAATATGTGGATGCAATCTATAGAATTATAAGACAAAACTGAAATTGAAACTTCATTATTAACATTCATTGTTTTATCTTAGTGGATAAGCTATCGATTACTTTTAAGACACTATTAACTTATAAACGATTATTTTTCTTAATGAATTTAATTTTTTTCAGAGAGCCAAAGAGCCTACAGATTTGTACAAGGAAAGGACTGGGGATTTAAAAAATTTATACGAAGAGATTTTCTTATGGACGAACAAAATGGCTTATTGCCAGATGACAAATTAACAATATTTTGTGAGGTAAATTCCTGTGAATAGCAGATTTTAATATAGAATGACCACAACAATAGTGACCAGCTGTCTGTCCACTATGATATTTGATTCACAAATGCATCTAATGGATAGTGTGTTAACAACTTAGATAATATTGACCAATAGTAATAATTCTAGATTGGAAAAGAAGGAATATGGGATAGATATACATGTAGACAACACTGCCATGAAATTCATTGAAATAATACTATTTGAAAGAAACCAGGCTTTAAATGCTTGTCTTCATCTTGTCAGTTACTGAAACCCCTGATAGGTGTTTATTGATATGGGTTGAATTTCTCTTGCCATACTGAATGATCAACTTAATTAGCATTCATCAATATTCGTCAATAACTGCTAATATATATTGTATATGGGTATTGTTCTCTTGTAAGAAGACCCCTAAGTCAGTGCAAAGTATCTTTATTAGAGTCAATATGTAAAACGGTGACCACACAAATTATTTAAAAAATGAAAAAGTTATCCATGGTAACCACTATTTTTACAGGAATGTCTATGAACAGTTAAAAAAGAGACCTTTAAGATCTTTTTTGCTTTTCATTTTGTATATGTTTATAAACGCGTTATATTAACTGTTTTTTGAGTCTTGAAAAACTTCATGAAATAGTGCATTAAGCCCCTAAAATTATATGATATAAATATAGTTTTGGTCAGGTTTTTTTTCTAGGAATAAAATTACTCTTCAAGACCCAAGTTTAACTGTATAGGCCAAAATAAACTATTAAAATTGGACTTTACAAACATTCAAAGGTGGATAAAAATGTATTTTTGTTATTAAGGAGTTCAGTTATAAATGTGGGTTCCAAATATTTATAATGTTCTAGCTATTCGTGTTCTAGAAGCTCCACTGTATTATCAAATTTTTTACATAAAGGTTTGTTGGTATTGTTCAGTTTTATCAGATTCTTGGGTTGCTGTCTTATTTGCATATACTCTTTTTATTATGGTTGAGTATGAGATAGAGCATTTGCTTACTCAAATTGACTTAATATAAACAGAAGACAAAGTTGGCTCTCAATAAAATTAAGTTTGATTTAATTGCAGGTTTCAGTAGTAGGTGACACAGTAAATGTGTCGGGACAGTCAAATTGTACCCCAGTAAAAGTACCAGAATGTAAACTAAGTGATGACCTTGGTAGTCTATTTGAAAGATCATCATTTAGTGATGTCACGTTATGTGTTGGAGGTAGAGAATTTCAAGCTCATAAAGCAGTATTAGCAGGTTTGTGATTTTTGTTTTTTTATTGATTGAACAAAGTCTCACTATTTTCTATAGAATGTAGCTTTTTACAAAATCCTATGGATATTTTAAACTACAAGATTATCGGTATTGATACTGACCTTTGGCATATGTATTTATTTGTACTTGCTTTATTACCTGAGCAAACTAAATTCTAATAATGAATTTATATATAAACTCATTACAACTGCAACATCTGCAAGGATTGTTTACAGTACAACTATGTTAGGTACTACAGAGGAGATTTTTATGTTTAGTCCTCAAATTTTCACAGATTTGAAAACAGGATATGGCCAACACCTGGTGTTTCTCAATGGATATGATGTAACTGCACTAAGTTATGCATATGAAATTATGATTTGACATTTGAAAATAATGAGTCTAGTTAAAACACATGCTGCACGTAGAATTTATATAACAAGCTGTGAAATTGAATTGTAAATATAGGGGAAATAACTCTATCTTAAATGTATAGAAGAACATTATAATATAACAAATACAATAAGTGGAAGAACTTTTGTACTCAAGATAATTTTGAAATAACTGACCATCCATTATCTTTTAATTTAAAAAAACAAATCTCTTATAGAAACCACTGGAGCAACTGAAAAACTATTATCACAACAATTCTTAGTTTACCAATGAAAAGTATATATATTGGTCATGGGACCTATGCATGTGTTGTTATTTTCATCAATATAAATTGGGGGGTAAAAAGTATTTCAACAATGATTTTATTTTGTTTTTACGAGAATTTATTTATGGCGACCCAATATGACCCTGCCACTATGAAATAGTTATTTGTAGGACCTTATAAAATTACTGTAAGAAAAAAAGTTTTGTTTGAACCTACTGGGCCAATTGCCACAAAACTTGGTAGCAATCATTGTAAATAATATTCTTAAATGCACTTTAAATTACATCATATATTGATTAATAGTAGTATAATTAGGATATTAATCATTTTCAAGGCCTTAGAATTGGTCATGTAATGTTTCTTTATAGAAATTAAAGCAGAAGACCGTTAAATGACAATCAAACTGGATGCCATGGTTGCCTTTACTCTGAAAAAATATATATTCCCGGTATATATATCAAAAATGACCTGACCAATTAAAAAGTGAATTTTCCTTTCTGATAAATATTTTGATTCAGTCCAAGTTGGCCATTAATGTTTTCATATAGAAAATGCATAAACATTCTACTCCAAAACCATTGTGCAGATCCAACAAACTTTACAAAATTCATTTGTATTGATTTGATTGTTTGCATTGATAAATACATTGAACATGTTGAAGATCAGATCTTTTATTTTGTCTTTTACAGCTAGGTCTCCTGTCTTTAATGCAATGTTTGAACATGAAATGGAAGAAAGAAAGCAGGTTTGTTGAGCAATATATTTGATAAACAGAAAGCAGTCTTTATGCCCCATTTATAAGAATTCACAAGTTCTACTTGCAAGACCATAATTGCCAGACCTTAAGCTTATTTAGAAGAACCTGGGTACATGTTTCAGAAGAATTGCACAATACTGTGAAAAGACTTTTGGAAAAAGTATTTCAGCCTAACATAGTTTTTTGAAAGAAATCTTTTAAAAAAAATTGATACTAGAATTTTAATGCTCCCGCTGTAGTGGTGTCACTTTTACTGTTCTAGAGTTATGCCCCTTTATAAATGGAAAAAATGCAAAATTCTTAGTTTCCGTTCTCTAACTTAAGTTTGCCTCAACCAAATGTTATGAAACTTGTACACAATGCTTATTACCACAAAACACATATCAAGTTTGAATTTTGGTGGCGTCACTTTTACTGTTCTAGAGTTATGCCCCTTTATAAATGGAAAAATTGCAAAATTTTTTTTTTCAGTTCTCTAACTTAAGTTTGCCTCAACCAAATGTTGTGAAACTTATACACAATGCTTATTACCACAAAACACAGATCAAGTTTGAATTTTGGTGGCGTCACTTTTACTGTTCTAGAGTTATGCCTCTTATAAATGGAAAATTGCAAAATTTTTATTTTCTTCTAAATATCAAGTTATTTTTAAAATTGGAGTTATCGTCCTTTGTCCATGATTATAGTTGAATCAACTACAATCAATGCTTTATACAATGCAATGTTTAATTTTGACTTCCACTGATAAAACACAGATCAAGTTGAATTTGGGTAGTGTCACTTTAACCATTATTGAGTTATGCCCCTTTATAAATCGAAAGATTGCAAAATTTTTAGTTTGCATTCTGTAACTTAAGTTTGCCCCAACCAAACATTATGAAACCTATACACAATATTCATTACCGCAAAACTAAGATCAAGTACAAATTTTTTGTTTCCGTTTTCTAACTTTAGTTTGCCTCAACCAAATGTTATGAAACTTATACACAATGCTTATTACTACATAATACAGATTAAGTATGAAATTTGGTGAGAACACTTTTACCATTCTTGAGTTATGTCCCTTTATAAACATAAAAATTGCTGAATTTCTCGAACTTTAGGTTGTCTCAACCAAATGTTATAAAACTTATACACAACCGTTCTAGAGTTTATGCGTGTTTACAAATAGAAAAATTGCTGAATTTTTAATTTCTGTTCTCCACTTAAGTTAGCCTCAGCCAAATATTATGAGACTTACACAAAATGCTTATTACCGCAAAACTCAGATCAAGTTCAAATTTGGGTAGCGTCACTTTTACCGTTCTTCAGTTATGTCCCTTTATAACTATATTGATATGCAAGCGGGGGCATCATCTGTGTCCACATGTGGACACTATCCACATTTATTTGTAAATGCATTTAATTTAAAATTTACTACATGTAGATGTAGTACCAGTGTTTTTTGTGTGGTTGTTGCTAGCATAAATGTTCTCAGATGATCAAGATCTTGTCACATAAAGGACCAGGGGAGATAACATTTTTTGTACTTCTCATTTTCAGCATTTTCTTTTCAAATTTTTTCACTTTAGTGCCAAATTGAAATAAATAATATCCTAAGTTCATAGATTAAGACAGAAATTAGTGGAATTATTGATTAAATGTAGGCAAAATTTACTCAAGTGTATTGACAAATTATTTGTATTTGAAAACACTGATTTCTATCATAGTTTTTTCAGTGAACAGAACATGATTCCTAGAGTTTCTATCAATTTTATATTTTTAACCTGTTTTATCATTCATATAAATATTATTTTGACAATGTTTTGATGTTACCAGCACTTTGCAATGATTTATTTTGGAATTTGCAGAACTTGTGCAATTATGGTGTCCACAGAGATGTCAAAAAATCTTACCTGTGAAAGTATATTTTGTAGAATATGAATTAAAGGAGATTTGGGGTATTTGTCCTGAGACATCAGTCCAAAAATACCAAGCAACAGAAAACAATATATCTAGAGGTCAAATTAGTGTCTTCAACATAGACAGTTGTCTAGGCAATATCTCAAGCTCTAAATCACATACTTTCTATACTTCACATTAGTATGCCAACATTTTAACAAAGTGAGTTTGTTTCCTTATTTTCAGAACCGTGTAGAAATTACAGATGTTGATCATGAGGTGATGAGAGAAATGTTACGATTTATTTACACAGGAAAAGCCCCCAACTTAGACAAAATGGCTGATGATTTATTAGCTGCTGCAGACAAGGTATTTTAACTTGATTGTATTGCAATAAATTTTTTAAATTACAGCAAATGAAGCAAATTCAATTGCAGAATTAATTAGTTATTGGCTTACAATGTACCATCAGTGTCTTGTTTAACATACAAAAGGTTAGATTGAACATATATTGTAGACTTTATTAAGTGACTGTAGAGAAATTTACCCTTTTGTCAGACATATCCCTCAAGTCTGATCAATTTTATAAAGATTTTTTCATTAGAATTGTGATGCATTAATGTGATATTATTCTTATATACCACTCACACTGCTGCAATATCCTTGTCTGTTCATCTTTTCATTCATGGGTCTGTTCCAATTGACTGTAATTTCTGTTAAATTACTTTGCTTGTATATGAAGGAATGATTTGATGGTGTGTAAGTTTATGAAGTTGAGCTATACCATGAATTTTAAAAACTTACTTGAGAGTCTCGTATTTGGTGAAACCTTGGAAGTTTTATTATAACCAATAGGCATAGAATTTGTCCTTACATAATTCTCAGCTGTAATATGAAGGAATGATTTGATATATTATCTAAAATTTTACAAGTTGAATTGTATTGAATTAGCGATTTTCTGTTCTACAGGGCTGTCACTTCCTGTTTGAAGCTACTTATTTTTTATATAGATATAAGAAGATGTGGTATGAGTGCCAATGAGACAACTCTCCATCCTACAGATCATGGATTTTATCAGTTTGTAATAATGAGTTGTGTATACTTTGGCGCAACATCACATGAAACAAATATGACTGTTTTTTAAAGGCTAAATGGTAACAGAAACTTAGATATCCTGTATTATTAGTCTTCTGATGAAATATTAAACATTACAGCTCTTTAAGGTAGTTTCTGAGGTTCTTAAAAATGTTGAGGTAGAGCAATGCAACTTCAAATTATCTTAAATAATGGAATCTTTCTCACTGTGTAAACGTAAAAACATAAATACAAGCTATATCATCTGTATAATTTGACTATGATCATTGCTATAACAATATATTAAATACAATTGAATCACAGAAACTTTCAGTGTTAAATTTACTTTTTCAGTATGCATTAGACAGATTAAAAGTTATGTGTGAAGAGGCATTGTGTTCAAATTTAAGTATAGAAAATGTGTGTGAAGTTTTGGTGCTCGCCGATTTACATAGTGCTGACCAGCTAAAAACACATGCTATAGATTTTATAAACAGGTATGTAGTGTGTTATCTTTTCTGCTTTATTGTAACTTTTTAAGTTGAACATAATTGAAAAATTCAGCATTTGATTATTCTTGTTTTATTCCATTGTATGTAATTACAAGAGGCAAAATGATGAACAGGTAGACACAGTGAAACCTAGTTGTATGAAACTATTACAAAATATTGATTGAAATCAACAGTAGCAAAATTTGATATAAACGCATACCAGATTACAAGTAAAAAACCAGTCATCATAAAACATAGCAGTGTACAAGTCTAAAACCAGTCATTAAAAACATAGCAGTGTACATCTCTAAAAGTTTTAGTCATCAAAAACATACCAGTGCACAACTCTAAAACCAGTCATTAAAAAACCTACCTGCATAAACATCTAAAACCAGTCATTAAAAAACCTACCAGAATACAAATCTAAAACCGGTCATCATAAAACATACCAGCTTATCAGGTCATCATAAAACATACCAGCTTATCAGGTCATCATAAAACATACCAGCTTATCGGAAATAAATACATGTATTCTAAAACCAGTTGTTGGCATGATACGGCTTATGTTCTTCTCATATATTTTATGATGTATGATACTAAACCCCTAACGGGAGGGATTGTACCTGATTTTCATATGATGAAGACATAATCTTTCAATTAGTTTAATTGAGGTCTGGAGCTGGCATGTCAGTAACTGCTAGTAGTCCTTTGTTAATTTATGTACCATTGTCATTTTGCTTAGTTTCTTTTGTTACCTATTTTGACATTGGACTCTGACTTCTTTTAAACTGAGTTTTACTGTGCATATTGCTATGTGTTTCTTTATTCTACATTGGCTAGAGGTATAGGGGGAGGGTTGAGATCTCACAAAACATGTTTAACCCCGCCGCATTTTTGCGCCTGTCCCAAATCAGGAGCCTCTGGCCTTTGTTAGTCTTGTATGTTTTTTTTATTTTAGTTCCTTTATATGTTTTGGAGTTTAGTGTGACGTCCATTTTCACTGAACCAGTACACAATTTTATTTAGGGGCCAGCTGAGGACCACCTCCAGGTGTGGGATTTTCTTGCTGCGTTGAAGACCCATTGGTGGCCTTCGGCTGTTATCTGCTCTTTGGTCTGGTTGTTGTCTTTTTGACATATTCCCCATATCCATTCTCAATTTTATCACAAGTCTAAAACCAGTCATTAAAAACATACTAGCTTACAAGTCTAAAACCAGTCATTTAAAAAACATACAGTGCACAATTCTAAAACCAGTCATTAAAACATACTAGTGCACAACTCTTAAACCAGTCATTAAGAAACCTACCAGCATACAAATCTAAAACCAGTCATCATAAAACATAGCAGTGTACAAGTCTAAATCCAGTCATTAAAAACATAGCAGTGTACAAGTCTAAAACCAGACATTAAAAACATACCAGTGCACAATTCTAAAACCAGTCATTAAAAACATACCAGTGGACAACTCTTAAACCAGTCATTAAGAAACCTACCAGTATACAAGTCTAAAACCAGTCATTAAAAAACCTTCCAGCATACAAATCTAAAACCAGTCATCATAAAACATACCAGCTTACAAGACTAAAACCAGTCATCATAAAACATACCAGTGCACAATTCCAAAACCAGTCATTAAAAACATACCAGTGCACAACTCTAAAACCAGTTATTAAAAAACCTACCAGCATACAAGTCTTAAACCAGTCATTGAAAAACCTACCTGCAAACAAGTCTAAAACCAGTCATTAATCAAACTTACCAGTGTACAAGTCTAAACTAGTCATGAAAAACATACCTGTATTCAAGTCAAAAACCTGTCATTTAAAAAAATACCAGCAAGCTAGTCTAAAACCAGTCATTGAGATATATTTTTTATGCCCCCGCCGTAGCGGAGTGGGGCATTAAGTTTTACCCTTGTCCGTCCGTACGTCCGTCTGTATGTCCCAAAGTTGGTTTCTGTTCTCTAACTTTAGTTTGCCTCAACCAAATGTTATGAAACTTATACACAATGCTTATAACCACATAATACAGATCAAGTTTGAATTTTGGTGGTGTCACTTTAACAGTTCCAGAGTTATGCCCGTTTACAAATGGAAAAATTGCTAAATTTTTCGTTTCCATTCTCCAGCTTAAGTTTACCTGAACCAAATGTAATGAAACTTATACACAATGCTTATTACCACAAAATACAGATCAAGTTTGAATTTTGGTGGCATCACTTTTACTGTTCTAGAGTTAAATGCCTCTTTACAAATCGAAAAATTGCTGTATTTTTCGTTTCTGTTCTCTAACTTAAGTTTGCATCCAGATGTTATGAAACTTATACAAAATACTTATTACCACAAAAGTCAGATCAAGTACAAATTTGGGGAGCGTCACTTTTACCGTTCTTCAGTTATGTCCCTTTATAACTTTATATGATATGCAAGCAGGGGCATCATCTGTGTCCCATGGACACATTCCCCATTTATTTATATAAGTTTTAAAAGCAATATAAATTAATTTTACAATTTCCAAAAATGTTGTACAGGATATAACAAAACCTTGTATAATAACAAATAAAAAAACAAGACCTATGTTGATAAGTACTAAAAATAATACATCTTTTTTTCAGTCATGCAACAGACATTATGGAAACCCAAGGCTGGAAAACATTAATACAAAATCATCCTCATTTAATCGCTGATGCTTTTCGTGCTTTAGCAAGTCAGCAGAGTCCACCATTAGGTCCTCCACGAAAACGAGTGAAGACTTCATAGCCCTTGTAGTTACAATTAATAGTATATGAACTACATTAGCTTTCCTGTAAATTATTCCCAGCAAATTATGTGATACTGTTGCAACAGATTTTATATTGAGGACTTGATCAGAGAATACACTTGGTAAATAGAAGTGAGGAAAACAGCATACAGATAAAACTACTAACACCTGATGGTTAGTCGAAAAATCTTTCAATGGAGATCACTTTTGTGACAAAAAGTTAAAAAGAAGAAAGAAAAAGTTGCAACCTTTCCCATTTATTCCATTAGTTTAGCACCAGGAATAATTGCTATGGTTAAAGTGGCAAAGTATCGTGAAGAATTTAGTATGTGGAATTTGAACCTGTCAAGGACAGGTTACTACAGATAATTAGTCGCTAGTTTCTAAATACGTATTGACACAGAAAAAATGATCCATGAAGCATGCATCATTAGTGCATTGTATGTATTTATAGCAAAACTGGTATGCTAACATTTGTACAGAAAGCATGTTTAACTTTATTGTTAAACGAGTGAGTGGTATGCTTACTTAATAATACCATTGCAATTGTAAAACTTCAATATTTTGCAATATCAAAAAGTCTCATAACTGTTTAATCTGATTTATATGATGTATTTGGTTCATTTGATTCAGTAATAGTTTCAAAGAATGCATGTTCTTCAGCCTTCTTTATGCTTTATTTGTAGTATTGAAAAAATGTATTTGTTTAAAGAGATTTTGATTGGAAATAATGTTTTTGTGTAAAATTTTACTTATGATTTTCAAATAGCACTGTTAAAAGCAATGAATTGTTTATCTATCAGTTTTGTTGGTAACTTGGGATCCCTGTCCCGACTCTGCTTGGCATCATTATGGACAGATGGGGTAAAATGCATACTATCAATTTACAGTGCTGACCAGGCTTAATTTACTGCATATGTTCCAAATACATAAATAAAAGATAAGCCAATTGGACCTTGAATTTGTTTGTTAAAGAACACAATCAAATCAGTAAAGTTTTGTTACTTTATCTGAATTTTTTAATACTACTTTTATATGTCCGAAATGTGCACATAATATTTGCCACTGGATGTCAAACAAAGAACAAATTTAACAAAAGTATTTGGCTTGAATTGTACAACAATTATTAATGTTAAAGTTTGTGTTAAACCATTATTTTTTCCTCTTCATATAAGAAAACAGTGCTTTCCTACAATACTTCTAATGTAAATTTTACATATTGCTGTATTCTTCTTGACTGTACTGCTGAGCAGCGATTCAGAATCCCATAAAGTGAGGGCTATTTACGGAATAAATGCAGACTCTGTTTACCAGGAGATTAATGATATGTTTTGTAGTGAAACATAAATTGTGGTTTTTTTTTCACCATCACAACAGCTGTTTTATTTACCATTTTCGCAGAATGAATGGATATTTGTATGATTGTAATCTGTATACATGGAATTTTATGTACAAATGTATTTATGAAGTTGTATATTTTTTGCCAAATATCACAATTCCAACTTTGGTGTCTTTAAATTTGAGGGATATAAGTTAGTGTAGTTTAAGATTAAAATGATATAGAATAATTATTGGGAGAAATAAACAACTTTTTAAAAGTGATAAAAGTAGATGTGAGGTATATGTTAGTGAATAAGGTATGTTAAGAAGTATCTTTTTGAAGGGTTAAATTTATTTAAATGTATTTATCTATGGTTGGGTACAATGTATTACTAAGAGTTCATTTTAATAACCCAGCACTCATTTGAATATATTGCATATTTAAGAATAAATGTAATTGGCCAGTGACCAGTATTGAATAATAATCTTTTGCATGATTTAGCCTTTTTGTGCTGAGGCCACTAAAAGCAAACACCAATCATTCAATGAATAAAAATCTTTGTAAAGTAGATGCGTTAAGCTGATATGAGAAGAATCAGATGAGTTGTTAATATTGTTGATATTAATGCAGTGTTTCAAAATGAGAGTACACACAAAACATTTAATTCGACAAAGGCACAGAAACCTGTTTACAGTTGTAAATAGTGTGTAAGATATTTGACTTGAGATTGATGTTCAGCTGGTCTGAACTTTCTGTCGATATTGTGTTATTAAGTCTTATTTCTGCAAAAATGTTTAAGGCTGTTCCATTAAAAAATACATGCTACCAAGGGAAAACACTTTGAAAATGAGATAACCATCTAGAGACAATTATAGAATTTCTCTTACATTTTCACTGTACACAATAGTATTTAACACCAATCCATAGCTGAGATTTTGAATTGTCTTCCCTTGATCCCATGTATGTTTTTTTTATGGAACAGCCAGCCCCTAAAAACTAGATTACCATGCATATAGATAGCAGCATTAAACTATTTCTGGATTACAGTACCATTATTTGATTTTACTTTCAAAATTTTATAATAGTTGCAAGAAACAAACTATCTATTAAAGTGAAAAATGTGGTTTTGTTTGCTTGATTAAATTTTTCTTTTTGCTTTTAATATTGTTTGGTTTATGTTTTATAAGAATATACAAAATAAACTAGGAATTGCCATAAACTCAGCAAACTGCATCAAACACTGACTGAAAACATTAACTAATATAACAGAGAAAAGACACCAATAAACAATAAAGAACAATTAATGGACTCAATTTACCCAGGTAATAAATGTGAAGGGGTAAATGCCCTTTTATGGGGACCCCATAACTCATTCCCCTAGTACTTGATTACTTAGCTGAACTATGTGAAAAACCCTGTAAAAATTAACTTGTTCCATTTTATGAGATATTGCGAAAATGGATTTATAGATACCCTTTAAACTCAACTTAATAAGAAATAAAATTGAGAATGGAAATGGGGAATATGTCAAAGAGACAACAAATAATGCCAAAAATAATGTTGAGTATTTATGAAAAAAGTAGTAACAATAACCCTCCTTATGCTTCAGTTTTAAAAATGTTCTGTTAAGATGGAATTGTGAAAAAATTCTACAATAGAGCATTGGTATTTTATGCATGCTGTTATGCTTTTCAGATCCTAAATAGAATATCAAGGTTAGTCTCTTTATTACAGCATCATGGATATAATAGGCCATTGCTATTTATTTATTGGTATGCTATTTCATTAGTATTCCTCTGTCATAGTTACAAGCAGTATAAGAGGCCTGTGTAACTATCATGCTTCATCAACTTTTGAATTTTTTACATTCCTCAACGGTTTTATAATAACTCACAAATGACCATGGATATTTTGAATGCTATTTATTATTATCAGTATTTTATGTCAAGAAGATTGTGCATCCTGTCTCTTTGTCATCTGAATTTAAAGTATACATTTCTTAACTAATATACATTAATTGCATATTCTTTTTTAAATTCTCTCCTAAGCAATACAGACAAACCTTTATTTTATCCGTCTTATTTCTTTCCCCAATACATTTGGTGAAGCTTTCATAGAAAAAAAAAGTTAGGAAAGGAAAAAAGAGCAGATAGGGTTATACAGAATAAATATTCTACTTTTCTCTATAATTTTTTTTTAGTCTTAATTATGAAATATGGCCAGTAATATTGACCTTTTTCAACAGATGCTTTGAATTTCATGTTTCTTCTAGAGGGATATGTTTCTGACAGTGTGTGCAATGTTATTTAAAGGTCGAGTCACAGGTACAAGTAAATATAATATTATGTGACGAATGATTTTTTTTTTTTAGACTATTTATTGTGTTAGTGCTAAGTTTAAATGGTTATGAATCAATTATGGAATGACTCAGCTTAATCTCTAAAGTCTTTCCTATGCTTTTCAGTCTGAAGTTATTCATAGGTTTTCACAAAGTATTGTGTATTTTTATTAAGCATGATCTTTTGTGTATAGCTTTAATGCTTTGCAAAAAAAAAATGGGGGAAAATATGATTTAAAACTTCAGTAGATTTTAGGCTTTCAAAATCAAGAAAGAGTTGAAACTGAATTTCCTTGAATTTATTTCACAACGATGTCATTCATTTATTAAAAGTCCTTCATCAATCTTTACAAAAATTCAAGTATCACAGCTTATGTTCTTGGAGGTTTAAACAACATTTTTGATCATTTCATAGCATTTAACATATTAATAAATACCTAAAGATAGCTTAGATCTGCAAATCTTGATTTTGGTATTGGCAAATTGAATACCAGTATGTATGCAATAAATGAATAAATGGGAGATGTGGGGTATACATCAATGGATATTCTTTACTCCAACCAATATTATATAGGAAGTAAAGCTATTTACTTTCATTCAGAATTACATATTCCAATTTGATCAAGGATTGATGCAGTTTATTTTTTTACCAAAACGTAAATATTGCAATATTTTTCAAAATTGCATTCAGCAGCAAGTGTATTGCTGAATTTTTGTGTGTTTTTTTTTTTATGATGAATACAAATTGTTGAAAATCATTAGATTAAGTACATTATTTAGACTTCTATTTTCAAATTCCAGTATGTCCCATTTTGACTCTGCAAGTGAAACAAATACAAGGGAAATTTGCTCTATTGCTTTATTGGCTTTAAAAGCAGGATTGAGAATTAGGAAATTCAGATGAACTTTAAGCTGATGTTATATCCATAAATTTTGTGGTGGGTGAAAAGAGCATTCAATCTCATTCCATGTAAATTATTATATAGGTATATATGTTGTAAATAAATCAATGATCAAAAACTATATTGTCTTGTTATTCCTGTGTTTTTAGTAGCAAAGATCTGTTGTCATTGGACCAGATTTTAGCTTATCTGGCTTAATGGAGTGAAAGCTATCACCATCACCTTTTATACATCTATCATGTGTTGTCTTTAAAAAAAAAATTAAATATCTTTTCTAAACCCACTAAATCATTAAGAACAAAATTTGTTCTGAATTATTGCTTCAAAATATTCATTTTTAGTGCACCCGACCCAAAGGATCAAGTCAGCTGTTCTCATCACTTGGCATCCATCGTCTTTACAAAAATCTTATCTGGAACCACAGGGTCAATTGGAAGCAAAGTTGGCCACAATCATCATTAAAAAATTTGTCATATGACCCCTGCCTGCCAACCAATATGGCTGACTGGCTAAAAATAGAACATAGGGGTAAAATACGAGTTTTGTCTATATCTTGAAAACCCCTGATAGGTAGAGAAAATATGACTGGTCAGAAATGTTCAGAATGTTGAATTTTATGACTTGTTTTCATTTTTGTCTCGCCTGTGAAGAAAGTTGCAGAATGCGAAACATAGGAATAACAAATATTTACTTTATATTTCAGAAGATAGAAGACATAGATACTTCCTATCTTGTATACAGATGCTTTAATGCTTCAATCTGTCATTATGTCCATTGTCCTTGACCTCATTTTCATGGTTCCCTGAATTTCTCGCTTATTGAGAAAAATTAATAATAGGATAAATATAATTGGAAAAAGGGATTCTTGCAATGTCTACTTGTCAGTGAGATAGGGTTTACCTGACCTTGACCTCATTTCATGGATCAGAGATTAAGGATAACTTTTTCTTGCCTCTACAAAGTAGCAGAGGCAAGACATTGGCCTACTATTTTCAGCTTTTGGCGGCATCAGCTATTTATTAAAGCTTATATTAGGTCAATTTATGGGATACCAGGAAGGGTAATTCAATATTTGGTATTTAGTTGTAAGATGATTTGCACATCTCATTCCCATGGAGATTATTTGTTCGCACTCCCTCAGTCATGGTTCATTTGACTGGAAATTTTCCAAAGTTTACATGTTTGAGTTTGTGATTTGGTTAGTTTTAGGGGAACACCTTAAGATAAGTCAATAATTGGTATGAAGTTTTATAAGAATTGGTTTATCTAATCTCCAATGGCCTTGCACCTTCTGTCATGGTTTATTGACTGAATGTTTGCCATAGTTTACATGTTAAGGTATTGCCATTTTAATTTTAGCATTTGCATTTAACTATCAAAATTACATACAGGCGAGACATATCTATGTGTGAACAGTTTATTGTGGTTAGGTCCATCTCTAAGATACTATAAGCATATACCAGTAAGCAATAGGTCAATATATTTTGGTATGGATTATTGAATGCTATACATGTCCATCTGGCAATGTTCATTTGACCTTGACCTCATTTTCATGTTTCATTGGTCAACTTGATGTTTTCCAATTTAAGTCCTTTACTCAGATACTATAAGCAAAAGGTCAATTATATTTTGTATGGAATGATTGCAATGTATATGTTGCAGTACAAATTTGAATTTTATAAATAACTGCTAGTAGATATTTGAATTATGCTTTGTACTGCGATTTAAATTAGTATAAATCAGAATTATAATTCCGTTTTGTACAATGGGACCCTACTGATTTCTAATTTGAACTGTCTTCTTTGCAGCGTTCACCTAACCTTGACCTCATTTTCATAGTTCATTGGTCAATGTCATTGTTGCCTCTAGTTTGGGAGATAGTTAGAAGGTACAGTCATCAATTTTCCTTGGAAGAGTGACATACCTTATGAGAAAGTACAAAAAATAGTAGTTCATTTGACATTAAAATGTGCACTAATTTGTATTTGTCCTGAATGTGCAAAGTATATTGGTTTCTAGACATTATGCACCCATCAATTCATATTAAGCAAACGTTTCTTGCTGTTATGGTTTAATCACCTCTTCAAAAGAAACAAGTTTTTGTTAGTGGAACACACTACCTGCTGACCTTTCTGGAGCATTTGAATGGGACTTATGCTTTACTCTGTCTTATTGTTTATGATTTGTATACATCCATTTCTTATGTGATTCAGAGGCAGATTTAGGGGGGGGGCCTTATGGAGCTACATTTATGGTTAATCTAGACTTTTTACCTATTCCACTCCAAACTTTGTCTTTGGTTGGGGGGCCCCTGCTAAATTACAATCTCATGAAAACGAGCTGCTACAGATTCATCAACACATTATGAAATTCAAAAAAACTGATGAATTTTTTGAAACTAAATTTACAGTGGTTAACATCCAAGACAGTTTAGAAATCCATCAAACCATATGATTTACAAATTATGGCATTCTACCAGACAAATTTGTAATTAATTTTCTACCACAGGTTTGTCGAAGAATTTGATCATTTTATCGGCTGTTTCCAAATCCAGACTGCAGTCTAATAGATCTTCTTTGTTAGCTTTTACTATATTAGCCAAACTTCCCAAACAGTCTTGCAAAATGTGTATCTGTAACATTGTTAAGGATCGTATGAAATCAAACGGCATTTATTTATTTAAAACAACATTTGGAAATAATGTTTGCTATTTGTGCTAAATGATAAGATAGAAGTTACGGCTAAGCCAGAGTTCATACAGAACATTAAGACTGACAGATTCTGGAAATTATTCAGTCTTAAATATATTTCGTCAGTCCAATTCTTAATTTTATTGAACAATCTCTCTCTAGTGTTAGACACTTTAACTGACATGGTAACACCTTATATCAGACATTTCAAGATCTTATCTTTCAATTGATTCTGGCTGACACTTTTCAAGATCTCAGAATTTGAAAGGTAAAATTAACTAACCATGAACCAACCAACTTTTTTATTTTGGATTGGCTGCTCTATATTAATTACATTCCGTATGCTTTTTATGGTTATCTTGATATGTTTTTATAAAGTGCTAAGTTTTGTGATGAATCATATTGACTGGTTCACACTTTTTAAAAGTAGTTGCACCATATCAAGGTATTATAACCAGTTGTTAATTCGATACCATATTTGAGTTTCACCTTCGCTGACACTGATTTATGATAGTATTCATTTATTCATTTTCAACTTTTGAAATAAAAATGAATCGAAGGTATACATTTTTTAATAGAGCATATAGTATATGTTTTCAACCAACCGGCATACACAGGAAAATATGAACTGTGTTCATGCATTATAGGTATGTGAATCCTTAGTAAATTTCAAAGGATATGATGTTCACTAAGACCTAGCTGTGCAAAAGCAGACTGTGTGGTATTGTCTATGCTGAAATTGTGAGCCAATTTATCTAATCTGCTGAACATGACATCTGAGGTCGGCTTACACAATACCTACAAGTTTGTATAAGGTTTAGAGAATTTATTTACTCCTAAATTTTGTGAATAAACTCAAAAGAGAATACTAATAAATTCATATAAATGTATATAGCTTTATTAAAATGTTTAGTATGAGAAAACAATATCTGCATATAATACATGTAATAACAAACATGTATGTCATTAATCAATAAATCAAAACTATTTATGTTAATAGACATGTTAGAAAAGTCGATACTACTGTTGGCACTCGTGTTGAATGGAAGATGAATACTATATGGTGTGGGGGTCATCTCCAAAAGTATAAATACTCTATCGGTTTTTATACGACTGCAAAAAATTTTTTGATATCACGTCGTCGGCGTCAGCGTCGCCCGAAGACATTTGGTTTCCGGACAATAACTTTAGTTTAAGTGTATGGATCTATATGAAATTTAACCAAAAGGTTCAATACCACAAAAGGAAGGTTGGGATTGTTTTTGGGGGTGATAGTCCCAATCGTTTAGGAATTAGGGGCCAAAAAAGGGGCCAAAACAAGCATTTTTCTAGTTTCAGGACAATAACTTGTGTATAAGTATTTTGATTGCTCTGAAATTAGGGGTCAAAAGGGTCTAAAACAAGCATTTTTCTAGTTTTCAGACAATAACTTGTGTTTTTTTTTTTTTAAGGGCCCCAATTTTTATTCTTCAAAAGAAAATTCTCTTCAAATATTATTTTTTTTTGGAGAGGGGGGAGGGGGGGTAAAAAAACAAATTTAAGGAGGGGGTCAATTTTTTTTCCCTCAAGATTAAAGAAATTGTCAATATTCCAAAGAAAAAAAATGGGGGTCACAATTTATTTTGCTAATTCTTTGTATATAGTCTGAAAACAGATTTACTAAGTATTGCGCAACAGCACAGTGTATTGCACAACAGCAAGAAATCTTCAATTGAATATAAATTCAAATCATACAACCAATTTCAAGTTCTTTGACACATTTATTCTGTGTCAGAAACCTATAATGTGTCAAATATTCAATCACAATCCAAATTCAGACCTGTATCAACCTTGAATATTGTGTCCATTTTTGCCCCAACTGTCCACTGTTCTGCGGTCGTATCCAGCTGCGCTCGGCGAAGCAGTTTATTATTACTTGTATGGGTGTGTTTGATAGCGATGAAATACGTTATTTAAGGTATGCAAGACATAATCAATCGAACATTTTTAAAAAAACCAAAATTAATTATTAAATGTGTATTTAAAATCAATTACGTGGCATATTGAAGATAATTATCATACATGTAATTGTAATTATTTGATTAAAAAATTGCAAAAATAATAAAACAATAAGGCAAATCTTTATTTTTTATGGAAAAAGGGGGAATGGTTCTTTTTTTTTACAGAATCAACAAATTATTGCAAAAAACTAAAGGAACAAGATTTTTGTCCTGCCTTAACTCCCAGTGGAAACAAACTATTGTTTTACTCTCAGTCTGGAACGATTTAAAAAAAAAACAACAGAATAAATCAATTTATTTTGCAAAATACAAGTCCCCCTTTTACACAAGATGAATGCTCGATGATTTATTTTAAAATGCAAATTTGGGATTTTGTGGTCACTTGCATAAGCATTGTATGATTGGGTAGCATTTGTTTAATACGAAAATAACTCAGTTTGTCTCTCGACAAGTCCAGCACACAATTCAACTATTTGATTTAGTTCGTTCCTTTGATGTCTCCATAAAGTTCCAAGGACCATGAATGTCTTTAAATTTCTTATTGCATGTTCAAAATAAACACAACACTCAAACATTTATTCTTTTATTTAATTTTTTACATTTCCTTTTTTCCCTCAGCGTTTTCCGTCTTAATTGATGTCTCTTATATGGTGTAAACAATTGGTGCACGGTTTGCATAAATTTTGTCAGCTAAGACTGCATAATTTGGAGGGAAATCTAACTCAAAGTTAGTCCCAATACTAGGCAAAATATTGAAGGGTGTTAGAGATTTATAAGTCCAACTGTGACCTTGACCTTTGATGTATGGCCTTTGACCTATGATCCTGAAAATCAATAAGGTTCTAGATATTCATATATGGACTAAGTATGTGCAAAGTTTGGTCAAAATCCCTGGAACGATGTTTAGTCCAGAGTGTTAACAAGGGTGTTAAAGAAATTATAAGTCCCACTGTGACCTTGAACTTTGACCTATATGAACTTGAAAATGAATAGGGTTCTAGGTATTCATAAGGGTCAAGTATATGCTAATGAAAGTCAAAATATGTTGAACTATGATGAGTCTAGAGTGTATACAAGGATGTTAAATAAATTACAAGCCCAACTGTGACCTTGACCTTTGACCTTGAAAATCAATAGGATTCTAGATATTCATAAGGACTAAGTATGTACCAAGTTTGGTCAAATTCCTGAAACTATGTTGAGTATATAGTATTAACAAAGGTGTGATGGACAGAATGACGGACAGACGGTACCGTTACAAGATCCCCTCCAACTTCTTTGGCGAGATGATAAAAACCATTGGAATCGGAAATGCAGACAAATGTCATTTTACACGATGACAATGGGGGCACGAAGGGTCGATTGATTTACATTAATGAAAGCCCGTTATATGGTATGAGATTGTAACTACGGGAAACAATGCCGTCTTGCATACGTTTTATTTCTAAAATCAAAATCATTAGAAAAGTAAACCGTTACATCTATTCAAAGACGCTTGATTATGATATATAGAAAAAAAAAAATCGTGGACCCCTTTTCTAGTCATATAACAGGTGACCTGGGGGGGGGGGGGGGCTATATTTTGTGTTTTTATTTGTTTTCTAGCATCTTCCGTTTACTACCAGTGTGCGTATTCGAAACTAACGACATTCACTGAATAAGAGGCACCTGTAGTGTGACAGGTTCATACAGAATATTGCGGGGTTAAACATGTTTGTGAGCGCTCAACCCTCTTCATAACCTTGGACAGTGGTGTAAGTTGTAACAGCACAACATAAGTACAAACTGCAGGGGCGGGTCCAGGTGAGGGCGTAATGGGCGTACGCCCCCCCTCCCTTTAAAAAAAAAAAACAAAAAAAACTATCGTAATCTTCTAATATTGTATTATACCGTTACATTAGAGTGCATTTCACAATTATTTTATGTTTTTTAGCAAAAAAAAGGTCCAAAAAAGTTTTTATTCTACGTTCCCTCTTTCAAATATCCTAGAAACGCCCCTGAACTGTAAAAATCATTTGGATATGGCTTGACTCATTATATTGACAGGAAGCACAAAAAAACAACTAACATACAGACAAAAGACGCAAAGTACCAATATTAGAGTACTCGCAGTTACTGAAAGCTAGCTCATAGTCAATAACAACGGTGTCCGTATGTATAAATGGAATTTGAGTTATTTATCAGTTGTTAATGACTTTGAGCTAGCTTTCAGTAAATGCGAGTTTTATTTTCTAATAAAAAAGTATGATTGAATTGTCATAGTTATTCAGTTCAGGATTAGCAATTCGAGATAACGGATTATCAATCTGAGATCACAGATTAGCAATCCGTGATCATGGATAAGCAATTCGAGATCACGGATTAAGATCACGGATTAATTATTTTTTTATGCGTCCCTTTATGGCTTCCGTGGTTATACGACTACATCCTTTTACCATTTGTTTAATCTTTTTTGGTTCTTAAAAATAAATTGGATCTTCTCCTGCGTACTTTAATAAATATAATTGTTTAAGATTAATCTCAGCGGTATCAAACACTTGTACTTTTTGAGATGGTTCCCACATCATATTGTATTCATCTTCCATCCAACACGAGCGCCAGCAGTAGTATCGACTTTTCTATAAACACGTCTATGAGCAATGCGATAGAATCAACGGAAATATTTACGTTAATAATTGCATAAAAATTATGTACTTTTGATGTGTAAGTATTGATAAAATATTTAAAAAAATAGACATTAGGGACACGAACTCATTAATTTCTGGAGTCTACCAAATAAATGCAAACACCCAAGGAGGTTATATCGTTGTTACTGTTCTATAATTGCTGGTTAATGATTTGATGCAGTGGCGGATCCAGGGGGGGGGGGGGCACTGACTGCCATAAGAGGGGGATGCTTCAATGATTCCCTTATCAACCAAATTTTTCCCACAAAAGGGCCCCCCCCTAAATCCTCCTCTGTGATGTACATCCTTGACTAAACTAAATATGTATAAAATGATAATTTTGTGACATCTCATTTTTCGCGGTTTTGTAAATTACAAAATGAATAAGTCTTCTACTTGTGAATTAGTATGTCTGGGGTTATATTTTTTAGTATCTTTATGGGTCACACAGAAAGCAAAATCAGGCCAAAATAAAGATAACTTGAATAGGTGGTATTCATGCATACCCTATTTTAATTGCCTTTCTCAATGTTTTAGTGACACTTTTGGTAGTGATTTTCAAAATTATCATCAATAATTCTATACATTCTACTCTCAAGGTAAAAATAAATCTGAAAAATCAATAAAACTCATACCTACCCAAAACATTGAAAGACTGGAAATATTTAACACATAAATTATTTGTTTAGCCTTATACCTTTGCAATGTTTATCATAGCTTGAATCCCTTCATCAACACTGTGAATAGCTATCATCTGTAGTTTGGTATCTAAAAATCTTTAAAAGAAAAATTTGTTGTGCATATATATTGAACTCAGATCGACTTTGATGCCATAACACACTGTAAGATTCCCAAAATTAATTTTATTGCTATGAAGTCATAGATGTTCCGCAAATTTTCAAAAAATGTCATAAGGACCATACGAGCTACGGTTCCGCAGATAGACCTCTTAATTTCTAAACCATAAACTACATCTTATGCCCAAGATTTTAAAAAGCTTGAATTGAATTATTTGATTGATTGATTATTGGAATTCTGCTTACATTCCATTGTCATATATATAGCCGGGTAAAATGGCGTTCCGGCTAAATGGAAATCAAGAAGGAATATTTCGCTCCTTAAACTTTTATTTTAGCAGTCCGGCAAGACCGAACAACAAACTCCAAACCAAATGTAAAGTAACATACAAACAATAACAATATATATAAGCACAAGCAATTAAAGGATTAAGATGATTAACCGTTATGCCAAATAGAAATAACAATAGTTTAGAAGAGTAATTAATGTCCGACACGTCTAAGTAAATTATTGTCTAAACTGTTACAGAGAATAAATAATTAAATGAATAGAGTAAATGAATTTAAGTTCTTTGTCCAAGATTATGACACATAATCCGTGTAAAACACTTATGCCTAAATTTACGACAAAGTTCAGAATAATAAAATAAATGCAAAACCTAAATATACATTAAAACAATTGAATAAATAAAATGTTGTTTAAAACTAATTTCACACTGCACAGTCCAAATAGTCCGGTCATATATTCCCTCGGCCCCTGAAGACACGATCCGGGTCTTAATGTTCATCTAAAATTGTTCCGAAAGTTTCTTCTGTGATTGTGGCGTCCTCTGTAACGATAGTTTTGGTTTGGATGATTATCTTCTCTTGTATTATTTCGAAAATTGTCCAATTCGTCTTCTAGTTTAGTGATTCGATCCCGCATATGTTCTTTGTCGCGTTGTAATTGGTATTGCTGGTCGATTGCTTCGCATCTTTGATCGTAAATCCGAAAATTAGCTTCTTCAAGATCCGTAATGCGTTCCCGTAATTTTTCCATATCTTTTTGGCCATCTGCGCCTTGTTTTTGAAGTTTTTCTAGATTGCTAACAACACTGGTATGCTTTTGATTTAACTCTTTAAACTTCTTCTCATAGTGTACGCTATTGATTTTAAATCTTACTCTCTCTGAATTCACTCGGTCATGCCTGAGTCTTACGTTATCTATGAATTCCTTGTTATATTCTAAGGTTGGAAAGAAGTCCATCAGTTCAATAGTATTGAGTTCCGCACAAGGAAAAATTGACATAGCTTTCTGTTCTTTGAATTTTCTCATTCTTTCTGCGTCACGACGTAACTTGGATTTCGATTTAACCTTAACAACTTTCACGTCCGGTTGTCTGTGAAAATTACACATTCTGGCGTAATGTCCAAAACTTCTGCACTTATAGCAAAATGACGTTTTTGCTATACATTGTCTAAAATGAAATTGATTGTTTACAGTTTTTCCACAAAACTTACATAAGTAGTTGTCCATATGTTGAAAATTTCTTGTCTGAAAGGTAGTTCCATGATCAGACATCTGGTATCTCCAGTCTCGGCCAAAATTTCTGGATCTCCGCGTATCCATTTTTCTGTTTGCTGGGGGGGGGGGGGGGTCAGCTTCACAGGTAGAGTAAGGTATCCGAAAGATGCGTTGCCCGGGTCCTCCACCAGATATAGTCGGGTAAAATGGCGTTCCGGCTAAATGGAAATCAAGAAGGAATATTTCGCTCCTTAAACTTTTATTTTAGCAGTCCGGCAAGACCGAACAACAAACTCCAAACCAAATGTAAAGTAACATACAGACAATAACAATATATATAAGCACAAGCAATTAAAGGATTAAGATGATTAACCGTTATGCCAAATAGAAATAACAATAGTTTAGAAGAGTAATTAATGTCCGACACGTCTAAGTAAATTATTGTCTAAACTGTTACAGAGAATAAATAATCAAATGAATAGAGTAAATGAATTTAAGTTCTTTTTCCAAGATTATGACACATAATCCGTGTAAAACACTTATGCCTAAATTTACGACAAAGTTCAGAATAATAAAATAAATGCAAAACCTAAATATACATTAAAACAATTGAATAAATAAAATGTTGTTTAAAACTAATTTCACACTGCACAGTCCAAATAGTCCGGTCATATATACATGATATACAAACGTATTCAGGTTGACAACACGCTGAGGCGGATTTTAATGTGTTAGTCAGCCACAAGGTAGCAGTCTAATATCACTGCACTTATACAAAGAACACATTTTTTTACTGCGAGTGTCTTTGCCGGAGAAACCGCCTCGGTTGTTTCGTGGTAGCATGTTCGCCATAAGTGCGGGAGGTCGTGGGTTCAAACCCCGGTCGGGTCAAACCAAAGACTTAAAAATTGGTATTTGCTGCTTCTCCGCTAAGCACGCGGCATTAAGGAGTAAGAGCAGAGACTGGTCGGCTCGGAGTCAGAATAATGTGTCCGGGTTAGGTGACATGTCTTATTCTTCTTCTTCTTCTTCTTCTTAATCATCATCATCATCAAGTTTCAAAGTCTTTGGTTTGACATCATCATCAAGTTTCAAAGTCTTTGGTTTGACATCATCATCAAGTTTCAAAGTCTTTGGTTTGACCCAGACGGGAATCGAGCACACGTCATCCTGCATTCGAAGCGTTGACTTGGAGCGTTGATACTTTGTATTGATACGAAACAGTCGTTACAAAATTTACAAAACCTATAAAAAAGGAAGTTAAACACTGGGAATATTAGCACCAAAAATGAGAAAAATTAATGGGGAATGTGTCCATGGGACACAGACTGGCCATGGACACAGATGATGCCCCCGCTTGCATATAACGTTATAAAGAACTGTAAAAATGACGCTATCCAAATATGTACTTGATCTGAGTTTTGTGGTAATAAGCATTGTTTATAAGTTTCGTAACATTTAGTTGAGGCAAACTTAAGTTAGAGAGCAGAAACGAATATTTCAGCAACTTTTCCATTGGAAAGGGACATAACTCTTGAACGGTAAAAGTGACGCCACCAAAATTCAAACTTGATCTGTGTTTTGTGGTAATAGGCATTGTGTATAAGTTTCATAACATTTGGTTGAGGCAAACTAAAGTTGGAGAACGGAAACGAAAAATTCAGCAATTTTCCCATTTGTAAAGGGGCATGACTCTAGAACAGTCAAAGTGACGCCACCAAAATTCAAACTTGATCTGTGTTTTGTGGTAATAAGCATTGTGTATAAGTTTCATAACATTTGGTTATGGCAAACTAAAGTTAGAGAACGGAAACCAATTTTGGGACGTACAGACGGACGGACGGATGGACGTACAGACGGACAAGGGTAAAACTTAATGCCCCCTCCGCTACGGCGGGTGCATAAAAAAGAGAAAAAAACGACAAATTTTAACAAAACTGACGACAAATGGAATGACATAATGTAGGTCGACTGGAGCAACTTTTATCTGTACAAAATGTCAATGTCCGTACAATCTGATATCTCGTTGTAATTTACCCCATTTTATATACTTTGTTTAGTTGCTTCTCTCGGGATATATTTAGGCAGAATAAAACAAAGACAAAGATTCATACAGAACAGGAAATAAATGTTTAATATATCTTTAAAATTGGGCATAATGGATACATTTAGGGGAGACTTCGACGGGACTTCATTCTGATAATAATTGATATTGATATTGGACGAGTATTAGAGCTAATTTCCTAAGGCTTGTAGAGAAAGACTTTGGTTTGCTTGCTTGCTTTGTTTGTATATGAACTTTTGCTCAAGCCTTGTAATTCAGACTGACATCTGCAAATTACAATATATTATAAACATACCCAAGAATGAAGGACAATAATGGCCGATTACCCTTATCAGCGACACCCGGGTGCAATGTTTTTAATGATGTTCGATTAACATAGAAAGTAATGGGAAAATAAATTGGTACCCTTCATTAATTCTTCATATTATTTTTATTAATCATCTGAATTCTTATTAACACATACGACCGAATTCTACATAGATTTACCTTTCTGGTGCTATTAAAAAATCTAGTTTATCTTATCTCATTGTTAGGTCTCCGATTTTTTGAAATTTCATTATCTAAATTCCCTTACTCACATCAGTAAATATCGATAAATCACCTCAAAAGAAACGAGACAGCAGTAACTAAAAAAATTGAAGCACACTTAATATGCGGAGGAAATACTATTAACACATACTGTTGAATACTCCTGTCAATAAGCTATATTTTGATGTCAGAAAAGTCAGTTTAAATTAAGAAATTCTTAGGTCTCCGGCGTTTTGAAAAGTTGTCTTTGAAAAAAAAAACCCAACACAAATGTAATATACGAAAACAACGTTACGGTACATTAGCGAGATCATACTGTTATACATGTAAACTAAATTCCGGTTATTCTTAAATAAATGAAATAATACATAATAAGTTCAAATTCAAAGTATTCACTGTGGCTATTTTTTATTGTTCAAATAGAAACGATAAATATTGAATACAAAATAAAAATTTATTTAATTATATTAAGGTGGTACCCAACACCTTGACTAATATTAATTTGGCTCGTTTAATTTTCATAAAATTTTGACAAAATGTTTACTTTGACCCTTTGACAAAAATATAAAAATTTCAAAAAATTTGAACCAACCACTTTATCAGAAAAATTTCATTGGTTATATAGCAGTTTGACAAACACTAATTTTGATCATTGAGAAGCTTAATATTTCCTTAACAATACAACGTAATTAAAACGTTTAGCTGATTTTTACAGAGTTATCTCCCTGTAGTGTTAGGTACCACCTTAAATTGTATTCGTCGGGATAGCTCATCGGTTCAAAGGACATAATGGAGTTTTACTATAAGGGTTCTTGTTCATGATAGTTCATAGTTCGTATAATTTCATATAATAGAAACTATAAAGATATTTTTTATTCATATTTGGTGAAACGTATTTAATGATAAATGATAAAGTATACATTCACATTTAAATAATAATAAACGATTCGCTGTTTAATAAATTTTTTTCACCCGTAAAACATTTTTCCGTCATTTGTATTTCGATAATATTTAAAGAAAATGAAAAGGTGGTATATTAAAAAAGTTCGAAATTGATATATTGTCAAATGAATTTTATTATCAGCAGGCACCCTGTCGCTTGATTGCCTTTCCTATCTCCAATTACGATGTCTTATATATGCTCAACAGGATGCCACTATTTGTTTTATTAAATTGAATCTGATACAATACAACTTGTGTTAATTGGTGACATATGTACATGTTATGAATGTATGCACGGTTTGTTGTGGAAGTATCATCCTGTAATGACATTACATCAATGTGGTGGAACTATTAAAACAAATTTGAGAACTCGAAAACTAATGCAAAAAATATTTCAAATCACTCTTTTTTAGGGAATCGTGTTCCTCGCTCTTTGGTTTGACCATGGAAGTAAATTGATTAGTGTTATCTTTGTATAGATAGTTTAATTTGCTGCTTTAATATTTTTATTTCTTCTTTTAATTTGTCATTTTCTATATATATGTTTTTTTTTAATTACCTAATGGTGCAATACAAAACACATGTAAGTTGTCTCTCGGTCATTTTAGAAATACACTGTTCAAAATGTTCTTGTGTGAAAAAATGTAACGCTTACAACACATTGAATGTTGGTTTCTGTTATAATGATGAATGTGTTGTCATTGTAAATGAATATTAAAAAGCCGATTGCTGAAGACCTGGTGACAAGTTTTAATCTTATGCACAGCAAAAGAGGCCCTTCTTAATATTTATCAATTTAGTTTTGTCCGACGAATTTGTGTCCCTGATTTTTTTTATTTTAAATTTTCGATCTTTCTTGCTGCTTGGAAAAAAATCTCAAACAAGAAAAATGTTTCCCCAAGTTTTTATAATCAAAATTGGCGATTTATTTATCAAAGACAAACTATGAATCGCATAAATGAGCTTTGATTTAGGGACGACATTAAAAATTCAATGTAGGATAAAAAAACTTTATTCAAATAGTTTTTGGGGGGGTGGTAAAAATTGCTGCAAGTTTTGTTTATTTGACATCGTTTTTACTTATATCTGTATCTGTATTGGTCAATCAATTTTTCCCAAATTAAGTTAAGAGGGGGTGGGGGTCAGTGAAAAAACTACGTGAATTAAGTTTGTTTATCCTACATTGAACTTTTGATGTCGTCCCTTATTGTCATGTGAATTTTTATTCGTGACTTAATTCAGGCAAATTTTATACCTTTGTTGCACTGTTGAAAATAAGGACAGATGGACATCAGATATAAATACTGTTAGTATCAAATCGCACTGATAGCAGTTAGAAAATTTTAGATGGGTGAAAATAAGTTGAAATATGAAAGAAAACTTTCAAATAAGAATTTCTCCTAAACACACATAAAAAGGGAGACCCACTATAAAAGCGCTTGCGAACTAATTAACTCGCTTGATGATGATGTCTTTAGTTATTACAATTGATAAATCTTCACTTATCAATCAGAGAGAGAGCTCAATATCAATAAAAATATATTTTAACTGTTGAATGACTTATTCTTCAATTATTTAGTCTAAGAATTTATATCTTTAATTTTCACCAATTGTCTAAATTTGATTTATTGAACCTTTTTGTCTGCTTACGCCTTACCTAACTAAAGATGATTGAGATATGTTTAGCCGTTTTTACATAAAACATTTAAAAAATGAAAAACATCTAGCTTGTAAGTTATTTCTTCAAAAGCATATATAGTATCATTTTAAAGCACACTTATTTGTCCAAGGCATAAATGAATGATTGTACTGAAATGAATGAATGTATATAGCCTATTGTTAGAAAGCAGGACAAACTTGTGTTTGCTGGTGTTAATATGTTTATACAGCTGATATTATGCCATATAATTATTTCATTACTAATGGTGATTAAACTGCAATAAGCTACGGTCCGGTACCAATTTCGTCGTCAGCTCTGTTTAAAATTTTAAATTTCTTGGTAACAAGGATGTCATATAACCTCCTAGATGGTATTTTTAAAGATATATAAAAAAATCAAAACTCATGAGATACGTTTTATGACTGTTTGTTAAAAAATGTCATTCAAGATCAGTTAACAAAAATTATGGATTTTTCCCTAATTTTTCAAAATGATTTCCCCTTCGTACATTGATTTATAATCTCGACGAGGTATTGATCTAAATATCATAGTCCTTTTAAAAACCACTAACTCAAGTATCGTAATTTATAACTCCCGTGAAGACGCTAATTAATTTTTATCAGAGACATGTCTCTGTTGTATTTAACAAGATTAGTAAATGCAACGACATCTATTGGAAGGAGTTAAGAGTTATCGTTAATTATCTACTGTCCAAAATAAACAGATTGGGTTATCTCGCTTGGAAATGTGACATATTCTTGCACATGTCACCGGAGTTAAACCTGTATACATTATACTTAAATTTGATTGGATGTTATCCTGTCTCCCAATTGTACATGTAAACATAACATGGCAATACAAGTTTTACTCCGCCTATTTATATTGTCTGCAGATGTCGTCTTAATTACAATGCTTGAGCAAACGGTTATTCAAACAAAGAAAGCAAGCCAGCCAAAGTCTCACTCTACAAGCATTAGGAAATTAGCTCTAAAGACTATTTCGGACATAGATTTTAGACTTCACTGTCAGATCGGATTTCGATTTGAGAAACGGACGGACGTCGATTAAAAACCGAACGTCGGTCTGAGTCTATAGTAACATCATATATTCTATATATATTACCCTAATACCGTCAATGATTTGATAAAATACAGATACAAATTATGTACATGTATACAGATGGCTTATTCAATTACTTAAAGGAATGGCTAATACAGTAGAGAAAATTATCCAAATCAGCTAAAACTTAGTTGGTCGTGGGGTCATGGCATTAAAGGTGGAAGATGCAATGGTTTGAAATTTACATAGCAACATGTTTATTGTCCGAAAATGGATAAGCTGACTCTTTTAAAAAGATATTTTAGTCTAAACTAATAACTTTCATATTTGGGAATATTACTTTTTTTGTACTTTTTTGTACTTTTATATCCTTTATTAGACCGGGACAGCGGAAAGTAATGAAAAAAAAATCATTCTACTCTTTATTTTAACCCAAATTAAGTATCTTACAGTGTTAGTGTGCCGAATCAAATAAAATATAAAATACAAAAATGTGTATAAAAATATATTTTTTTATTTATGGTAGAAATGAGACCTTGTTGCATTGACAGTTCAGTATAACATGAGAAATAATTAATAACTTCGGACCAAATGGCAGTTTTATCAGAATGGACCCAATAAACATCTCATCGGTCCATATACTTTATGGAGTGATGACTCGCTCCCGGTTCTCTAAATTGCATATGGCATATGGTCCTCAATGCCATGAATTATTTGTAAATAATATTTGTATTCGAAGAATAAATTAGAAAACCATTGTAACTCACTTTGTTTGTATCTCCGAACAAATTCTCATCTCACGTTCACTGTGCAAAGACGCCAACATTAGAATATAACCTCTGGCATGAAGTTGTGTAAATTTTTCAGTCCTGTTGATAACAAGATGATAGCTGTACATTATGGTTTTTGGTTCAAAATCAGATACTCTCATAGTATATGCACTAGATTTTGTGTTTTCATCCATGTTCATTACACTTCATATGTTTATATAAGATAACTGTTATCATAAGTTTCGGCGTTAATTCATTATTCTTTTGGAGGGGGCCTCTTTTGGACAATGGCAATTTCAAACACTGGCGCAATCACACGGTTTGAAAAGTTGTCTCATTGGCAATTATACCACATCTCCTTATTTTCATATGATAGAAATACCGGTTAATGAATTTCTCAATTCAGATAGAGTCCATGTTCCCAAGCATGTTCCTTAAGCAGTTAGGGGTGTAGCCACGAAAGAATGGAAGCAATTACATGTAGTATAAGGGTTCGTTGCAACATCAGGTGCAAGTCGATTAAGATAAGCAATTACGATAATGGAAGCAATTAAGATAAGAATTCGGTGAATCGTACAAATCTAATCAAGGACAAACGTCTTCTAGAGATTACTGGGGCAAAGGTCTCCTTTTTCAGTTTCTTTATCAAATCCTGTATTGATAATAGAAGCAAAACGAGACGATACAAAAAAAGGGAACTAATTAAAACACACAACACCTTGCAAAGAAGTAAAGAAGACGAAAAGACAAGCAGTTGTCCTCACTTAGAACTGATTCGAAGCCGAAGTGAACTGTGGTACTCCGACATGGCGAACAATTGAACAATTCCAATTACATATGTAACACCCGTATAAGTGTTGCTCTTGTTGTGTAAAAATTCAGCGGTAAAACGTATTCATAAATAAGGCTTAAACCGTGAAAGTATCAAAAGATAGTAACTAAACTGAAGTTGATTCTAATGTTTTATTTGTCATATTGAACGTTGTGTGATATGCACGTGGGCATTTGTCTGTTGCTTTATTATATATGATTTATTTGTGTTTTTTCAAAGATCAGCAGACTATTAGTTCAGTTGGGTAATATTAATTTATAATCGAAATAAAACCTTGTTATGAATGATAACAGCAGGGAAATTTTTACTTTGGTTTTTTATTGCTCGTGTTATAAAAGACCCTGTTTTGACCCCGTAGCCCCAAAACTGGAACAAGTCGCTTCGCTGCATATATATATATATATATATATATAGCATCTTTCATTTTTGGGTGTGGTAAACATTCTCTTGGCTGATTTACTTACGGTCCCATTTTTTTTTCTTCAGCTTTCAACTCTTTGTACTACGAACACGCCGCACCACAATAGGGCTAACCGATCATTGATTTCCCCCTACCAGTAATATAAAGCTATTGTTAGTATGATGTTGCTCAACTGACAGGTTTCAGTTCCGATGCTTTGGGATGTACAGATATCATTCATGTATTTATTCGATATATATTGGGATATTTTGTTATCATTGGCTTTACATACATATACAGTACATAATTTTCATCCGCAAACATTTGTTTATTGTATAGGTTTTACAGTCCACACAATTTTTGCCTATTTTTAGTTTCAGTTGCATAATCCATGTGCAATTTATTACAATGTTGCATGTCACAAAACCAAACTTGTCGTGATTCTATCGAACGACAGGACCATTTATATTAGATAATATATGACGTCGTATATATTATCTATAACTTGCGGTTTTACCTTTACGTTACGATATAACTTAAACAGTAAAGGTCAACCACATCATGGAAAGATGAAAAAAACATAGCGTAAAGGTGAAAACACATAGCGTTAAGGTAAAACCGCAAGTTATTGAGTACATATTACGTCATAAGACAGTCCTGGTGTTCAATGTTGTTCTTATGATTGTAATACCCGTAACATGCTGTGTTTTTTTAATCTTGACATACTTCTCTGGTACCAGTCAATGCAAGACATTCACACACGAGAACCATGCAGTTATCGTCATTTAAACGCGAGAAAGTAGATGTAGATACTCTTTCCAAATGGATTATGGATTACAAATCAGAGTTAAACAAGAGGCTGTCTGATTGACAGCAAACCGGATTTTCCTGCATGAAAATGATATCTTGAAAATCTGGACCCCCGAACAGGATCAAGTAAAAAATAAATGAACTTTTGTAGGGTTCAGAAATGGAAAGTATCACTTTTCGCTACTTAAAGGTCTTCAACTCAACAACGACATCAGCTAAAATCGTGAAAATCGAAGTTGACCTTCATTAGGTTACAGGAAACAACATATCTAAATTGAAAAGATTTCGTCAAAGCATTTTCAAGTTATTGCACGGACAACGCTCTAAGTATCACTGTTCGCTACTTTAAAGGTCTACAACTCAACAACGATAAAAGCTAAAGTCGTGAAAATCACTTTTCGCTGCTTAAAGGTCTACAACTCAACAATGATATCAGCTAAAATCGTGAAAATCGAAGTTGACCTTCATTAGGTTCAGGAAACAACATATCTAAATTCTAAAAGATTTCGTCAAAGCGTTTTTACATCAGATGACCGTGAGGGCATTCCGGTGTATTGCTGTCGCCTAGATTTCCATTACGTAACTTTCGTGTTGGGATTGTAACCGATCTATAAACATGATAAATACGCGGACATTATCGAGTGCAAAATAACATTCCTTATCGCTTGTTATAAATTCATTTTTTCAATGGATACTTCTTAAAATATTTTTTTTAGAACATAAATTAATAATATAAAAATGTTTTGTCGTTAGAAATATATATATAAGTAAAAAATCTTTAATATCTATGCACACGTACAGAAAATGTGTGTTAACGCATGCGGAAGCATATCTCAAGAACGTTTGCAATCTCCCATGCAGAGTTATCGGTCCTCGCTCTCTCTCAAGTTCATGCATGGGAGATTGAAAGTTTCGCTGGAAAATATGAATGCCTACTCAAATGCAATCTATTAGAAAAATCGAATTATTACAGAACTCAGAGTGTCCACCATGCACTTGCATTGCACTATTATTAATATAGTAGAATAGAATGATATACAAATGGATGAAAATTATATATACATGTAACTGTAATATACAAATATTACTATAATATATAACAACAAACCAGAGTATACTGATTTGTATCACTTCAATATCATATTTATTACGGTGAGGTTGAATTCCCTGTCATTTATTTATCATCCACGCATGAACTTGTCTAAGAAAAAAATTATATCTGTACATTAACCTCACTTTCAGGTATAGATATGTGATTTTTTTTTCTGAGACAAGTGCTTGTGACCATCCACAAGAACTTGCAGTCAACCGATGTTCAGTACTTCAGTACTTTGATTACGTTATTGCACGGGCAACGCTCTAAGTATCACTGTTCGCTACTTAAAGGTCTACAACCCAACAACGAAAAAAGCTAAAGTCGTGAAAATCGAACTTGCCCTTCATTTAGTCACAGGAAACAACATATCTAAATTTTAAAAGATTTCGTCAAAGCGTTTTTAAGTTATTGCACGGGCAACGCTCTAAGTATCACTTTTCGCTACTTAAAGGTCTACAACTCAGCAACGATAAAAGCTAAAATCGTGAAAATCGAACTTGACCTTCATTTAGTCACAGGAAACAACAACTATAAATTTGAAAAGATTTCGTCAAAGCGTTTTCAAGTTATTGCACGGACACTATTTTTTGACAATTCCTTTTGAAACTCAACATATACCCTCACGACACTTACCAAGGAGGAAATCCTAGATAATCATAGGTCTGTTTATTGTTATGAAGAACTGGAACTTCCTTCACTGTATTGGATACCTAAATTGCACCAAGTGTCCTTACAAACAACGTTATATTGTTGGGTCTTCAAAGTTATTGAGTTAGTCCTTCTTTGTTTTATAACCGTAAACAAAAGTATCTTGTCTTAGGGAGTGATAAATCGACTTTGTAAAAAAAAATCACTCTGATTCAAACAAATTAAAACATTCTCTGAAACTGACATTATCAAGATGCTTGATGTCTTGATTGACAACATATTTGTTACGTTTAGAGGACGTGTTTTTCAACAAACAATCGGAATTCCCATGGAAACCAACTGTGCTCCTCTTCTTTCCGACGTGTTCCTTTATTCATATGAGGCTGACTTCATACAGGAGCTTCTTAGGAAAAAAATAAAAGTTTGGTGACTATGTAGAACGCATCTATTCCATCAAACTTGATTGTTGGTTGCTTATCGTCCACTGGCAAATATTTCACGCATACTCAGGACGAGAACTAATTAACAATTAATACAATAAGTAGGTTCTGTAATAGAGGCCGTCCGGGTGTAGGTCGGGAAAATTTTAACTGCCACTGGAAAATGAGGATATGTTGGATAGGGACAGAAATTTTGTCTTGCAACAGGCCACCTAAGGACGCCTCGGAGAGTTGCTGCATATATGTTCTTAACGTGCAGAGAGCGTGGCTCTATCTCAACAAGAGGCATCGGATTTAACGTCCCCATTCTGACAGGACGTGGCAGTGTACTTGTTGTACATCCCGCAAAGCCAAACGGACGCCTCACTTTGGCACGGGTTTTACTGTCGGTCGGAAGAAGACCAAGAGTGACCATATTTTTATTCTCCAGTTACCCTTGGGGTCCATCAAACTTGAGATAAAGGATACAACAGATACAGCTAAGTCTTACTCATACCTTGACTTACATCTAGAAATTGACAATGAGGGTCGGTTGAAAACAAAACTTTACGACAAAAGAGGTGATTTCAGCTTCCAAATTGTGAACTATTAATTTCTATGTAGCAACATTCCAGCAGCGCATGCATACGGAGCACATATCTCTCAGTTGAGACGATATTCTAGGGCTTGTATTTCCTATCATAATTTCCTTGATAGAGGGTTGCTGCTCACAAGGAAACTATTAAAACAAGAGTTCCAAGTGGTGAAGTTGAAATCATCCCTTCGTAAATTTTAAGGACGCCATCACGAGTTGGTTGACCATTATGGAATATCTGTTTCACAGATAACGACGGATATGTTCCAATTGTCGTAACCCCAATCCCGTCCTCTTTTCCCCGAATGTGACCTTCCGAATTAGACCTATCACCGGGTTTGTACTTGCATGAGCAACACGACGGGTTCCATACGAGGAGCAGTATCTGATTACCCTTCCGAAGCACCTGAGATCACTACCGCGATTTTTGATGGGTTTCGAGTTGCACAGTCTTTAGTTTTCTATGTTTTTTTTGTGTACTGTTGTCTTTTAGTCTTTTGATTTTTTTGTCATAGCGTTTTCAGTTTATTTCGACTTATGAGTTTGAATGTCCCTTGGGTATCTTTCGCCTCTCTTTTACTAATTTAGCTAGAATTTTTACTTAATCGCGACATTAATCTCATATTGTTGCTATCTTGTTGCTAAAATAAAAGAAAATGTGTCAAATGAACCAAATCCATCTTCATTTAGCCCATTCATTCGGAATGTCTTCTTCTTTGTCTAAATCTGAACAAAGATATTGCTTTGTCTCAAAACGGTTAGTTTTCCGAAATCGATAACGTCATATGGCGATTTCCCTGAACGTGTATTTTCCCACGCTATCGGTGATTATGTTAACATCCTCAAACCTAAAATATACATTCAAAATACTTACAGTTGAAGAACGTCATGCTTTACGTCAAACTGGCCAATAGTGCAACTACTTAAAGATATTACCAGGAAAGCGACACCAGACTTTGGAAATATAACTGAATTTTCTATGGTACAGTTTGATCCTGCAATAAAGATACACAATAACTAATGGTTTCAAACTAATAAGAATATATTTCAATAGGTCCAGAGAATATTAAGTTCCATGTCCGAAAAGGTTTTTTAATGACAGTGAAAACCAAAGGTTAGTACTCAGCCCTAATATAATCGTTAAACTTGGTTTACAAATAAATTTAACTCACGTAATTTGTCTCTTCAGAAACGATTTCGATATTTTCGATTTTTACGTTCTGTTGACAGTTTCCGTCTATTTGAAGAAAATTTCCTTGTTTAGTTTCATCATCTCCTGTCCCTTGTCCTATCAATTTCATCTTTCCGCACATAAATTGGAAAAATAAAAACTGGGATGTACATTTTTTAAATAGAGGACGTGACATTTCAAAAACTCATAAGTAAAAGAGAAAATGACAACACCGTGGCAAAAAACGAAAACGACAAAAATACATACAAGTTTACAGAACTCTACATAGAAAACTAAAGACTTAGGAACACAAACCCCACAATCACCGGTGTTATCTCAGGTGCACCGGATGGATAGCACATCATGTTCCACATGTGATATCCGTCATGTTGCTCAAATACCACTTCGATAATAAGTCTAATTCTGTAATGTCACTATCGAGGAAAAGAGGACGGGATTGTAGTTATGACATTTGGGACATGTATGTGGTCATCTGGTTATATTCCATGATGGTCAACCAACTCGTGGTGGTGTTTGTTAAACTTTTGAAGGGATGACTTCAATTTTAGCACATTAGAAGCATTCGATAGAATGCTTCTTTGGAAGCAGCAGCAGTCCTTTATCAAGGAAATCATGATATGCAAGCTCTTGGAATATCTATCAACTGGAAGATATATACTCCATATGCATAATTTGCTGGAATGTTGCTATGTATAGAAATGTTAAGTTCACAACATGTGACATGCGTTCAACGTAGTCACAGAACTTCATCTATATAGCGGAGCGTAAAGTTAAAATATAATGCTTGCTTCTATTTATTCCGCTTCCCTAGAACTTCGTGTGAGTCTATTTCATATGAACAAAGGATCAATTCGGTAAGAACAGGAGCACAGTTAGTTCCCATAGGAAAGACGATTGTTTGTTGAAAAACACGTCCTCCAAAAACGCAACAAATATGTTGCCAATCAAAAATAAAGCATCTTGACTATGTCAGTTTCAGAGAATATTTTGTTTTCATCCGTTTTTTTACAACGTTTTATCCAATCCTAAAACAAACATAGATATGTTGGTCATTTTCTTAGGAAACAAAAATGAAATAATTCTTTCAATCTGTTACGGTAGGATCGTTCGTTTGATAGGCCCGTTCCTTTCGTTAACTGTATTGCTTAAAATCAAAAGACATATAGGGCGAACTAAACTATCGACCAACATCGTATTGATGTCTTAAAATCACAGAATAAACAAAAGTTTGACAACTCGACGATGCCGACGACGGAATATAGGACTCGCAGGCGAGACAAAAACAGAGTATTTGGATAGACCTTATCTCTATTTTGGGATATGCAACGACACAGACTAAGTACTGACATCATACAAACTATAACGCGTTATGGATATTGCACGAATGACAAATTACAACAATACGATTGTGGCGTCAGATATTTCCGCTTGTGACGACGAAATTTTACGATAACGTTTGTGATGTCCAGATACCACTGACGGAGTCGGGACAAATAATATAGCGAAAAGATATGCTCATATTTATAGACTATCAATACACCTTATCGCTATTTAGTCTAATCCGGAAAGACAAACAGTCACTTTTGGGTCAAGTGTCGCAAAAACAAAGGTCAACAATAATGAGCTGGGGAGGAAAAAGTTTAGAAAGTAAACATTTAAGAATTTTGATAGATTATGATTCAATTTTATAAAACACAAATCAAAGTCATAAAAATGTTTTGTTTGGAGTGTTTACAATGGTTTAAACACGTGGGTTTAAACCTGTCTCTGAAAAGTTGTATGCACAATAAATTGTTTAAACAGAGTCCCAGATAACTTCAACTGGTTTGTGACATCATGAAAAAAAGAAGTGTTATTTCAGAACTTATCCGGATTGGAATAAACACTTTAAAAAAAAAACCATAGTGAAAAACGTCATTCCTATTTAAACTAACGCATACCACGTATTTTCATCCGATGTTGTCGAAGTACTTTATCCCAAGCAGACCCTTGCAAAGACTGGTTCAGTATAACTGGCCACGTTGTATCCATTTCCAGAAATTGGAAAATCCGTCAACATAGCAGACGAATTTTGCCACTCACGTCATTAAAAATGCTTACATCATTGCAAAATTCATTTTTACCACAGACGGAAACGAACGATGTTGGATCCTGGCTAGCAGTTCACAAAAAGTCGTACGATTTACGTTTGTGAATATACTAGGTAACGTAAGATTTCAACTGGGAGTGTTCATAACCGTAAACATAAACTACGTTTCCAAAGAACAAAGGTGCTCTCTTCCACGGCCGCGTTATAAATGTTTAGAACAAGAATATTTCAAAAGCCGGAAATAATTTTATCGCTGATCATTTTCAGTTAAGTTCAAAATAGTATTTTGAAATGTGCATCTGTTATATGATGGTTTTCATACGACCGCAAAAAAAATTGCGGTCGTATATTGGTATCACGTCGTCGTCGTTGTCAGAGTCGTCCGAAGACATGGGGTTTCCGGACCTCCGAACTTTAGTAAATGTAAATAGAAATCTATAAAATCTAAACACAAGGTTTATAACCACAAAAGGAAGGTTAGGATTGATTTTGGGGGTTATAGTCCTAACAGTTTAGGAACTAGGGGCCAAAAAGGGGCCCTAATAAGCATTTTTCTAGTTTCCAGACAACAACTTGTGGAACGGTGTATGGATCTCTCTGAAATTATACCACAAGTTTCCATACCACAAAGGGATGGTTAGGATTGGCTTTGGGGGGTTATGGCTCAAACCGATAAGGAATTAGGGGCAAAAAAGGGAGAAAACAATATTTCCTAGTTAATGGACAATTAAAAAAAAAAGTACAATGTTAAGTTTGGATTACCTCCCTTACACTGCTTTTAAATTATGTATAAAGAAATGTTGTATTGTCTTGAGGTGATTAGCTGTCAATTTATTTTTAGAAGTTACTATTTAAAAATGCTGATTAAGGAATATTTAATATATTAATTTTAGCCATGATTATGTATGTCATTTTCTATTTTAAGACTTTTATGATGTATTTAAATGGTTAATTATGGTTGCAAACTCCATTGGAAATTTGAATTGAGATTATGACCATATCTTGAAAAGATTTTTTTTTTTGGAAAAGGGGGGGGGGGGTGAAAAGAAATTGTGAAGGGGGGGGGGCAATTTTTTCTCATTCCAGATTTCAGAAATTAAAAAGAAAATTTCTTCAAATATTTTTATTGGGGGGGGGGGGGGTGTCAATTTGCAACAGCATAGTGTATTGCTCAAAAGCAAAAAAAAGGGGGGGGGTACATTTTTTATTTTTTTTTAGGGGGGGAGTCAATTCGCAACAGCATAGTGTATTTCACAAAAGCAAAATATTGAATATAAATTCAAATCATATAACCAATTTAAAGTTCTTTGACTACAGTTATTCTGTGTCAGAAACCTATTATGTGTCAAATATTTAATTACAATCCAAATTCAGACCTGTATCAATTGCGAATAGTGTGTCCATTTTTGCCCCAACTGTTCAGGGTTGAACCTCTGCGGTCGTATCCGGCTGTGCTCGGCGAAGCAACTTATTTTAATAGGTAACGTTTTGTGAGGTCAGTCATATTTGTAAAAATAATAAGCGAAGTCTTTACCAATTCATGATGTCGAATGACGATATGTCTTCTGTTTAAAGTTTTAGGCATAAAATATTACGTTCAGGGACGTGACTGCAACATAAGAGGGAGCCAATAGAATCATAGAATGTGAAAAGAAAATAACAAGACTTCCGTTGATAATAAGTTTTTTTGGTAATGCGATTACCATGATACATTAAAATATATAAGTCTAAAAAAGACATCGGTTAATTTAGTTATTTCATTATAATATAAAAAGATAAAGATTTGGTATGATTGCCAATTAGACAACAATCTATCCATCAGAGAAAAATGGGTGAGGATGTTATCAACTATGATCAACTGTATGTCACCATACGGCGTTCAACAAGGAGTAAAACCCATATATAAAAGGCATCTACATGACAAAATGTGAAAAAAAAAACAAATCAAAAGAGAAAATCATCGACCCCTGATTTATTTTATGCTAAAACTATAAACAAAAAAAAACAAATATAACAGAAAGCTAACAACGGCAACAACTGAATTATAGGCTTGGAACAGGCACATAAAAAATGGTGGGAGGTAAAAAAATATTTGTTATTGCTCATCCCCTCCTTAAACCGGGGCAATTGTGTAAAAGCATAACAGCATAACAGCATAACATCCGAACAAACTGTTAAACAGGACTTAAACATGAAATCGGCAGAAAGAACACAAAAAAAAACCCCAAAGTGTCTATATATATAAGAGTATTCCCAGTAACTAATTAACGATCCATGTTTTCCAGGGGCGGATTCAGGTGGGGGCATGGCGGGCGTGCGCCCCCCTAAAATTTGCAAAGCATGGGGTGTCCTCAGCTTAATAAAGATAATTTCGATAATCCCCCCCCCCCCCCCCCCCCAACCTAAAATCCTGGATCCGCTCCTGTTTTCCCTGACAAAAAATTATTTCAATCAGTACACATCTTAGTGGAAAGATACAGTCTGAGAAAAAAAAACCTTGTGCAATGTCAAAGTAAAAGTATCGACAGGATGTAGTACCATGACTGTATGACTGTATAACTGCTTAATCTAAACATCATCAATGTTAGTACCATCAAACTAAATGGACCCAAAAGGAAAGCTTCCCCTGATGTTAAAAGATTGCTTGGAATTAGCAAAAACCACCATAGACTCTGGAATGATGCAGGAAGACCACGAGATGACCATCCT